ATATATATATATACTTATTTTCAAAATAGCTAAAAACAAATGTCTCTAATATGTGACATTACACTCGAAAAGACTCATTGGAAGTTAAAAGTTACTATAATTCATTTGTGAACATTAACAAAGTTCAAATATTGTTATGAAATTAACAACATTGAAATGCTTTTGATCGATGAAAAAATTTGTTTTTTTATCATATAATATAATTTATATTGTATTTTATTAATATATTTTATAATTTAATTTAAATTCTTTAAATAACTTGATTTTTATCCTAATTTTTTTAGAGTGAAAAGATTCATGCATGTATCAAGAAAAAAAAATCTGCTAATGCATTTGTAATGAAACTTGATTCATAGCCACTCAATTCGGTAATCATGTTTTGGAGGCAAAAGTCATTTCCCGAAGCAAAGTTGGAAAAAAAGGATTTTTATTCCAAAATTATCATTAATATCTTCTGATTACGCATGACAATCTAACTCGTCTTCGTGGGTACCCGTCCCGATTTAGATGAGAAAAACCTGTATTTACCAGATTCGAGTTCGAATTTTTCCCGCTTGATAAATTCGAGGAAAGGAGCGGGGACGAGGATGTCAATAACATATAATTCTACATTTTAAATATCTCCATTTTTCTCTCTCAATTATACAAATTATTAATGTGTAATTTATTTTGTTGTCTAGGTACCGTTTTTCATTAAAAAAAAATAAAAAGAAGGAAAGATGAGAAACTTTGGCACAGTGTAGGAGTTATTTATTTAGCCGAGAATTCGGTGTTCCCGTATGTAAAAAATCCTTTAGATCCACAGCGGATACAGTAACGCGAGCGAGAACCAGGGAAACAAGTTCTTCCTAGTTCTTAGGTAGATCGAAGGCTCTATCGCTGGATATCTATCTTTAAAATTAATCAGGCATATTTTGTAGTATCTTCACGGTGTAATGAATGAATGTCTACTATCATCAGCATTTTCACCGATATTAGAATGCGATAATATTGGAGTTTGAGATCCTCACTCCAATTATATTTTAGCAAGTTCTCACGAAAAATGAAATGGATTAATATTTACAATGATAATTGTTATCCTTCAAATTCATGAATTCAGTTCCATGCACGTGTTTTTTTCTTAACTTCGAAACCATACAGGGATAATCTTGAAGTAGATTGATATATTTAAAAAGTTACATTTATTTTCATGCTAGATTACATTACATGGGACAAAGTATGGTCAGAAGCATATTGCGACAAAATGAAGCACGGTTGCATCTTCAACAAAATGCTGCAAGACATTTCTCTTAATTTGTGTGAACGTACAGCATCTAAGCAGCAATTCCTCACTCATTTAGCTGCTCCCAATTATTTCGCTACATGTTTCTTTTACCTTTCGTATAAAAGCTTCCCTGTAATATTGTAAGCAAATTATGGAAATTAATCATGAAGTTGATTCATTATAAATTATTCAACAGAAAGCGGCTCTACCTCTCTGGCTTGAAAACTAGGTTCTTGTAAGCAAACCACTGCAAAGAAAGACAAAGAATATGAATAAATAGATGTTCTTATACCCGAGAAATACAAGGAATATATATTTTAAGAAAAAATAAAATCAACTACTATTGTTGATTGCCTCACAAACGTAGTTTAAATATATATACTATATCATAAGAGTTAAAATATAATAAGAAGGGGATAGTAACAAGCAAGGGAAACTATGATGAGCATGAGCATGAAATTAACATGCAACTCGTGAAGCCAGTAGCGAAATTTAATGGACTTACCCCAGTGTAGCCAATGCCTACAACCTCAAGAACCCCAGGAATTAAAGGAAGCCTATCAATGGCCTGTTATAAGTGACAATGACAATCATTGCTTAGGTTAAGGCAACTTAATTACCACAAAGTATTGTTAGTAGTTTCAAAAGAGTTATAATTAATGGTAATACGATGATGAGAGAATGCAATGTGAGATTTAAAAATAACCTACTGAGATCATCCCAGCTGAGCCCACCAAAGCAACCACACCAGCTACGGCCAGTGAACTCACTGCATATTTATCTTCAACTTTGTCCCACTACGTAGCCAACATTAGCCAAGTCATCAACACAGTAATATATAACAACATTACCCTTTTAACCAACAGAGAAACATTGCTGGAAAGAATTTGAGATCCTTACAGCTTCTTGAATAGTCTTCACAATCTCTGGCGGCTCAGCAACGGTGTAATCAGTTGTAGCAATTTCTGCTGCGGGTGCCTCTCTCGTGGTAGCCATTCCCAAAACATTGCGAGCAATCTTGCGACCTGAAACCAAAATAAGTTTCTGTTAAAAATAATATAAGAGTTTAAACAGCTTTTATGAAATTTGTGATTGACTTACAGAAGGCAGTGGTTTTCCAAGTACGAGTCTGAGGCTGAAGTGGTGGAGGAGGCAGAGTGGGAAGGGTGACACATTGTGGGGAAGAAGCTGGTGATTGTCTTGGAGCCTTGGCATCAACAAGAGTGGATGAAGAGGATATAGAGAGAGTGGAGGAGGAGGTTGAGGCCATTGCTACTATCTAGTGAATCTCTGCAAGTTGTACTTTTACTGGATTCTGAGGCCAACAGGGAAAGAATATAGATTATGTTGTTAAAGATATTTGCTGTGTGTTCTAGTTTTTTTTGGCATGTCAATGTCAATGGTGTTTGATAATCTGCCAATGGAGGTCCTTCTGCCACAGTTTGAAGTGCTGAACCACTCATTTCCTTTCATTATGGATAGTGTGATGACATGGCAGGAAGATAGGGCTTTTATGGTCTTTCATTGGATAGAACATAGGAGGTTCATGGTTGGTCTTATTGAAATGAAAACCTTACTAATATTATTTCTTACGAGGGTGAAAGCATGCAAAAGTATATTCAGCTTTGTAACTATTTTGTGGGTAACAAAATATCTGATATAGGCTCGGTTAGTTATGGTTGGAAAACGTTTTGGAATGACCTGAGGAAAAATAATGAATTCACGAATTATTTTGATAATGGGTAGGGTAATCACAAATTCACAACCAACCATTTTGTTTGAGATGGTGAAGAGAATCCGTAAAGGGCAAGGTACACTGCTATTGCAGGCCCTTGTCAAAAAATAAAAAGGCCCAAGATGCTATCAGTTGACACTTCTAACCACCCCAAGAAATGGACTGGAGTTTATGGACCCAAAGACAAGGCCTACAACTCAAACTTGGAAGAAAAAAAAAAACTCGTACTGTAGGCAGTTGGAAAAGGCAAATCATACATGTAACATCGAGTGAATCATAAATTTTGTCTATGAAATTGTAATGATTTGTCACATTAATTCTTAAAATTAATCAATTAAAAAAATATCCATAAAATTATACATTATTAATCAATTTAGTCTCTAAAATTATGAGAGACGAACAAATTGATTCTTTAAATAAACAAAATGACTAAATAGTCTCTAAAATATAAATCATCAATCAATATTTCAATATTTATTTTAAACTATTTTAACAATATTAATAATGAAAATAACATTTTATTTTAAATACTTAAGTTATTTATTCACTTTAGTTGGGAAAGTGACAAGAAAAAATACAAGAATGACACATAATTTTCTTTCATTTATGCTTTTATTTTTATTTTACAATTAATATATCTTTATAGATATTTAAACAAAGAATGTTAACTAGGTTAGAATAACTGAAAACATAATTTGCTCACAAATTATGAATTTTTTGTTCATTCATATATTCAAATATTTAATTAAAAAAATATATGTTTAGACAAAACTTTACAAATAAAATACTTTACCAAAATATATAATTTTTTAATAAATAATATATTTTTAAATAATAATATAAATGATAAAAAAATAATAATATAAGTGAGTTTTAAATATATTTTTAGTCTTTATAAAATAAGTAAGTTTTAATTTTAATTCTTAGGTTTTTTCTATATTTTTAAATTTTTTAAGTTTATAAACATTATTTTTAGTCTTTGTAATATAATTAAGTTTTAAATGCATTTTTAGTGTCTATAAAATAGATGAGTTTCAATTTTGGTTCCCGAAAAAAAAGAATTCTCTAATTTTTATTTTTTTAAAATTTGTAAATATTATGTTTAGTCTTTGGAATATAGTTTTGGTCCTTGTAAAATGAATAATTTTTTATTTTAGTCCTATAAAGTATTTTATTTATTTTAATCTCTCTTAAATATGAAATCATTATTATTGATCCATAACAATGGTTTTGACACTTAAGATCACTTATCATTTTAATAGAAAAATAAGTAGTTAAAATAATTATATAATAATACATATTAATCAAAAATAAAACTTACTTAAATGTATTTCAAATAGTTAAGTAATAACTATTATATTGAAATGTAATCAATTATTTATAATATATAATTACATACTTAAAATTTAATTAATTATCTTTCTTTTAATTTTTTTTATTTGAATGATTTATTTTATTTAACAATTCAACTATTTACAAAATATTGAACAGAAACAAATTTATTTTTCTCTTCAGATAATATGTTTGTCTCTTAATATATATAAGTCTATAAAAAGATTGATAAAATAAGTTTTTATTATACAATGATTTTTTTAAAAATATATTGATATTTAATTTAATATTTGGGTGCCAGATGTGTTGGACATAAATTTAATATATTAGTAATTTTTTTTATAAATGAGTTTATTTCATAATTAATAAAATTAAATAGAATTTTCATACATATACACCTTTTAGATAATAAAATATAAAATCTAATCAAAATATAAAAGGAAAATTCAAAATGTAAAAAAAAAGAGAGGTTAAAATAAAATAAAATAAAATTAGACAATACAAAATTTGAGTTCAAATTAGAAGGTGAATTGAAGTATGTTAACAAATACAATAATGTAAAACAATAATATATTTTAGGTAATGCAAAACTTTCTTTTCCTTCTAGGCTTTCAATATTTCACCATAGAGAAGATCATACTACCATAAATTATATTTATTTTGCTTATATAAAATGTTATATTTGTTAATTAGGACTAATTGAAGTGTAGTTGTAAATTGAAAGAATTGTTCTTCCAACTCAACAATTTCAATTTATTGAAAGGGCTCATGTTAGAATAAAAGAGATTTGTTGAACTATATTTTTAGGATAAAAGAATGAAGGACGAGAGAAAAAGATAGAAAAAAAGTCCAAATAATTGGTAGGAGAAGGAGGAATAAGTCTCATCTGGTTTAGAAAATGGAATAAAAAAATTGAAAAGGATTAAAAAAATAAATATTACAAAAGAAGAAGAATATCCAAAATTAAAAATAATTATTTTTAATGAGTAAATTAAATGACATAATTATATTCAAATTTAACGTATAAAATTAATTACAATTGAATATAGACGTTTCAGTGTAATATGTAAATATTGTATAATATTCATTTTTCTTCTTTTATTTTGATATATTTGTTTGTTTTTAATTATTTTCAGCAATAGTTTTGATATATATATTTTTTAATTATTTAAAATAGTAGATTATTTTCTAATATTATTTTTATATAAAATGTTTATGAGGAAATTATTGAAGGGAATAATTATTTACAACAAATTTATTGAAAAAAGACTTATTAGAAAAAAATTATTAGAAAGAAGTTAACTGAAGAAAGTTTTGGAGGAAGAAACTATCCCCTTTTATATATATTATAGATATTATGCTAACGTCACTTTTTTTTAATTGATATTAAAAATTAATAATAAAATTAATACCTACATTTAATATAAAATCATTATCGATATAATTTTTAAAGTAATTACCATAAAAGTGACCCATTTTCCTTAACATTACATTGTAAAACTGAATATATGTAACATTTTTCTCTTTTCTAATTAGCATGTTAACAAAAGTAAAGGAGACCTGATGAGAGGAGTTTTGATATTATCAATTTGAATCAATTACTGATCAAGTATCTTTTATAAATGTTTCATTTGTTTTTACATTATACCGTAACACAAACCATATAAATATTCAATTATGAATGAAGGAAGCATTAAAGCATATTACCAACTCTCAACGGGTACACAATTACACAACTATAGTTTCGCTTTTAACTGGCGTCAGAACAACTTAATGACTTGATTGATCTGTAACTCAAATAATCTCTGGTTCAAACGATGCAATCTGGTCTTTGAAGCTTGAACTTGAAGCCCTTCCTTGCTTGAATTGCTTTTATTATTCAGTTGTCAATTTTTTGGAGCCCATCATCAAATTTGAATGATGCTGTCATGAACTCAAGGCCAAAAAGAAGCAAGCAAAAAGTGTGCACAAATATAATCATGAAACCTCTTTCATATTATAGTATATACGGACACCACGCAATGTCAACATTTATGAAAACAGTAGCACTAGCATCATCCTTTATATGTAATGATAGCATGCCAAAGTGGTACTTCCTTCTTCTCATGGAAACGTGCTAAATGCTAATCCATTACTACTATTCCTAAGATAAACAAATAAGAACATACATCGTACAATATTAAGAACTAATTTGGGCAGCAAGTATAAAATGGTATACCCATTTCTCATGTACCCACTAACATCATCACATGGTATGGAGACAATAACGTACTGGTTGGCGGTTGCCCTCTGTTCCCCGTTTCCCAGCCATTTTGCCATCTGTCTTGCAAACTTTCTTTCTTTATTCCCAAATATTTAACTTCAGCTATCATTAATGGATCTAAACATGTGATCAACTGCTTCTGCAATTTCACTTGCTGAGACTACTTTAGTGTCTTCTTCAATCTACATCACCCCGCATCGTTTCGCAATTAAAAACACCAAATCCGTTATTCTAAACAAAAAGAGTCTAAAAAGCTAGCTGGTAATACAGCATGACGAATATGACTGTGGTAATCTGTTAGAAAGTTAACTTAGACTATTGGAAATAGGGAACCTACGTTTTGCTTAGGTTGCAAGTCAGAAAAAAAAAAAAAAAAAAAAGTACACTGACTTGATTCCACTTTAGCATTTGACCACAAAAATTTTAAAAATACGAAGTAATACCTTGAGATTGAAGGAGTAGAGAACTGTAGCCTCCGAGGATGTTATGTTAAGATGCAGAATAGTTAGCTTAAGATCCTCAAAGGCAACAATAGCCTTTATCAATTGCCCATGTCTCCTTAAGCACTGAATTTTCAAGTTCACATGAGCTTGAATCACAGTCACCTCTACTGCTACTGACTCTGACTTCTTTTCTGCCTTAAACTCATCCCCACACTTTACTTGTTCTTCAAACATTCCGGTGGTGGAGCCAACCTCTTCGTTCTTTCTCACCCTCTTTTGGGCCTCCAGGGATTGAAGTAACTGCTCCAATTCCTTCACAAAATCTATTGCACCTCCAATGATTGACGCATGGTCACCCTATCCCACGGAAAACTTCAAACATCAGCATATCTAAAGCACAAAAAGTGTAATATTGACTTCAGAAACACCTTTTTATCTCACTTTTTTTTTTATTTTGTAAAAAGTTTGTGAAAAGAACGTCCAAGAAAGTAGTATTAGGGCATCTTTGCAAAAAAGTTTACAAACATAATTTCAATCAATGTGACATAAAGATAGATTGGATTTTTGACATGAAAAAAGCTAAAGAAGTGAATTTGAGGAAATGGGGTTGGCTCCATTTGTGAACCTACCCTCTGAATATAGGAAAGGGGCATGAGTGATTTGAGCACACAGAGATGGTCATTCATTTGGCGTCGCCTGTTGCGTTCCACTGCAATGTGAGTCATGCGCTGCTTCTCAACTTCTTCCTTGTTTTTTCTTTGTCTCGTTCTCCTTCTCTTTCTCCTTTCCCTTGCAGCAACCTCAGTTTTAGCATCTTTGTTGCGGTCTTCACCTTTATTGCACTCATTACTCACTTTCTCAACACCCCAAGCTGAATGCACATGTTGAAGTTCATTGCTTGACTGCGCTTCCACCACATCATGGGTAACGCAACTCTCAACTTCCACCAATCTCATCCCTTCCCTTGGCTTCTTCAGTCTCATTAGTGTCTCAAAGCCCGGTTCCTTGAAAGGGATAAATTGTGATGATTCTGCACTCTGAAGCATCTGCAGGAATGGCATGTTATCCTCTAAGCTTGAGACCAGAGATTGTTCATCTTCCTCAAGTTTCAAGCTCTCTTCACCAACCAAACAATTTACTTCCAAATCCTCACCAAAGAACTGCAAGTCACACCATTTCATTAGTTAAATATTTCGTTTTCACAACCCAACCTTTTCCAAAAGAAGCAACAGAGATATGCTTCCGCTAATAATGGAGAAAAAGTAGGAAATAAAAGAGGAACGAGAATATATAGAATATGGACAGAGGGGAACCAGGGCAGATTCATGCATTTGCAGGAAATAACACAACGTATTTAATGCAAGCAAAGGGTGGATGTGAAACAAAGACATTATTATAATAATATAGCAAATAATAAAGAATTACATACACAGGAACTAATGGGGCCTTGAAACCGCTCCATTCAAGCTGAGCAGATATCTAAGTATAACTTAAATATTCTTTCCTCTTGCAAGAGTGACCAACATTCCCTAGTTATAATACTAACAAAGGAATAGTAATAAATGTAATCCCAACATATATATCCACCCCAGCAATATATTCCTTTGTTTAATAGCTAGTATAGAGTTAAGAACTTAATATGCTCTCCTCTTACAAAGTGTAATAAATGCTTGCCCTTGTGCTTGGAACAACTTAACTGGGAGGGATGTGGTAAGAAATGAAAGGTGGAAAATTCTCATGTGGGTAAGAAGATACTTATAAAATAAAAGGATAGTGCATATGAAAGTGTAAAAGTGAGAGTTGGTGAGAGGTTGCACTTGCAGCATCAGCAGGGAGAGAGAAACAAGGGGATGATTGTCTGGTTTAGTTACAGGGTCCCAACCATTATTGGTGGTGGCAGTTTTGTCCACACAAATTTGTGGCACTTTCTCTCACAACACACCGGCTAAAAGCGAGTACGGCACAGCAAGGAAGAGAAAGGTTGGCTTTGGAAAGGGCTTCTATGGATTGTATCAACTCTTCTGGTCTTATGGTAGGTCACTCATGTCTCAAAACAAAACTCAAATTGAGTTTTATTTAGGAAAGGCTTAGGCACTGTTTAAGAATTAATTTCAATAACAACCTTTTATATATTATTAATTTATTAACTATATATAGTGTTCTGATTAGGAAGATCCTTATTTTTATTTGGATTCCATTACTTATTTACACTCTACAACCACTTGACAATTTACATTTTAAATTGCACATGGGCTGCAGCACACAAGTACGAAGGCAAGCTCCAGTACAGCAACAAGATAAGGGTGCAGCTGAACTGTTTCATACCATTGCAGCAACCAAGATGACAAGAACATTTTGGACAATTATACTATCTCTCGCATCCAACATATATAACTGATTAATAACCTTATTACCTCATCATAAGCCAAGCCCAGCTACGTCCAAGTCTGAACTTGTCTTTTATTAATGTAATTTACTGTGTCAACTAATTGATTTCATTATCAATGCATCGAATGCACAGCATTTTCATTCATTCTTCTTGTATGTATAGTTGAGTTGATTAAATTAAAACATGCATAGCTGAAACATTAACAAATTGAATTATGAGAAAAAGTGATGAGAAGAGAAGCTTTACGTTTTGATTTGATGTGGCTCAGTTGTCAATAATAGAATCCAAAACGCTGTGGCAGTGGCAGACTGGTAGGGACTTTTTTCTGTCTCCCCCCACTCCCGAGTCCTGAGTCCTGAGTCCTGAGTCCTGGCCCTAGCCCAACAAAAATCTATTTCAGGTAACATGTACATAGCATGCCTATGCGGTCACACTAAGAAACAAAAGCTGCATATGATTTGATGGGGTAGATATTTGGATGAGTATTTTTTTTAAATTCATAAGAGTCGAATTTCATAACAAAATATTTATAATATTTACGCACCTTATTCAATCAAATAGTTTAAACCTGTTATATTTGGATGAATATTTACAAACTTCATTTCGGATAATTTTACAACTATTTTTAGTTAAAAATGAGGTTAGAGTGATTCGTAAGATCAAATGAGTTATATTTAAGTGCACCTAATGTAAAACATCCTTTTTAATATTAATGACAAGCAATTAAGACCAAGTCCATAAATCGATAAAATAAAAAAAAAGGTTATTTTTATTTCATTTTATTTTATTTATGAAACTTTTAATATCATTCATAACTAATTTTAAATATTTTGTTATTGATTTTTAGGTATTAATATTTAGAATGTAAAATAAATTTTAGACACACATGACACATCTCTTACACCTGCTTTTATAATTTCACTAAAAAAAATTATTTAATCTTGCAAAGTTACAAAAAAAAAAATGAATGATACTGAGAATCACAAAAAAAATCCTCAGAAATTTTTTTTTTCATAAAATAAAATGGATCAATTAAAATTTGACACGTAATATACTTTTTTAGAAAAAGGTGCAATTTTTAAAAATAGAAAAAATATTATAAATTAAATGTATATGAAAAAAAGGAATGTAGTTTTACTTTAAAATTTACATGAAACTAATATTTTAAATTTCACATTATAAGGGTCAAATTCAATATGTAAATATTATAATTATAATTAACTATTATAAAAATGTGAAAAAATATTATGTCAAATAATTTAGATAAAGATCAACTAAAACTTCGTAGGCCTTACAGTTTATCGTTCCCCAATCCATTGGGCCAGGTGTAATAAAAAGCCCGCCTATCTAAGGCACCACTTGTTTTTTAATTTAACATTAAAAAAAAAAAGGATTGTTACATTCACCAATCGTTTATGCATGTTACATAATAATATGTAGGCAGATGATAAACACACCTCCACTCTCGTATAAACACACCCCTTTTTTAAAAAAAATATATATAATGTCTAAATTACCCTTAAAAAAAATAAAATTCCTAAACTTACACCTCCTTTCCCCGTATTCCCGTTCTCCGCACCCCCTTCCCCGCACTTTATATACAAAAAGTGCTAATAACGCGAAGGTCGCAGGTTCGAGACCTGCATGGGCCATTTGTTCTTCATATTTGCTTGGCAAAAAAAAACAATTATATACAAAAATGATATAATACTAATTGGGAAAAAAAAACAATTTTCAACCAGTAAACCGGTTTAAAACTAACTGAAAATACATGACAATCGTATTTTAAAATAATTTAGACATCTGTAAAAAGGTTAAAAAAATCAATATTTTTAAAACTAAACTTGTCATTCAAACGGTTTTTCTAGTGCTTAAACTATGATTGGACCAATATTAATAAAACAATAATAATATTAAATAATACAAAATAATATTAAAAAATAACATTATAACTTTTTAATAATAAAAACTTAACATTAACTTTATATTTAGAATAATAAATAAAATGATATAGTTTAAGGTGATGCTTTTAAGTAATATTAAATAATATTGTATTAAAAAAATTATTGACCTGCACCAATTTTTTATTAGCTCTTGACTAGTTTTTCGTTAGACTAATTTTGTAATTTACTTAAAACGATCGGATGACCAGTTCACCAATTTTTCAATCTATTCGAATGATTTAGTTCATCACAAAACCATAAAGAATATAAAGTTGAATAAACGAGAGAAGAAATGAGAGAAAATGCAACCTCATTCTTATCTTCATTATCGAAAAATATCCCATATAAATACAAGGGAAGGAGAAGAAAGAGAAGGTGCATGGTCTGCTAACAGAAAGGCAAAAGATAAAAAAGCAAAACGGAAAAGATTTGATACAATGATGCTAACAGAAAAGCGAATGAAACAAAAATAACAGAAAAACTATGAGCTGCATGGGTTGCGGACTGCATGTATGGGCTGCATGAAAAATCTACTCATTGTCATCACGTAGCTCACTGGATGTGTACGTATTTGAGTTGTAAGAGCCCCCCTCAAGCTGAGAATGGATATTAGACATTCCCAGCTTGCCATAACAGTTTTTGAAAACATGAGGATGAAGCGCTTTTGTAAGAATATCTGCAAGTTGCAACAAAGAAGATATAGGAAGTAGCTTAAGAACACCAAGATTAATCTTTCCACGAACAACATGGCAATCTATCTCGATATGCTTTGTTCTCTCATGGAAGACTTGATTATGAGCAATCTAGACAGCGGAATCATTATCACAAAAGAGCAAAGCAGGTTTCTCATAAGGGATTCGAAGATCGTCAAGAAGGAAAGAAAGCCATTGTATTTCACATGTAACTGAGGCAAGAGCTCGGTATTCAGCTTCAGATGAACTCCTTGAAACCGTAGCTTGCTTCTTTGACTTCCACGAAATTAAAGAGTCACCAAGGTAGACAGAGTATCCTGTCACTGAACGACGAGTTTCCAAGCAACCTGCCCAATCCGAATCACTGAAACCTTTTAATTGCAATGAGCTTGAAGAGGGAAGAAATATGCCAGCACCAAGGGATTATTTCAGGTATCTAAGAACCCGAAAAATAGCTCTGTAGTGAATATCGGTATGATATTGCTGTGCTGTGAGATGAAAATCCTGTTTCTCACCTTTCTGTTCATTTTGAGCAGTGACCCTTCTTCCCTCATCAGTCATGGTGTTGTTAACATTGGAGTTGCTATTTTTAGCTTGCGTTTTGAAACCAGGAGGAAAACCATGCTTTCTATAGCATGAGTCAACTGTATGTCCACTTCTTCCACAATGAGAGCAAGTTTTGCTCCCTTTTCCAAATGAAGGTTTGTTTTCCTTAGAATCAGGGAAACCATGTTTTCTAAAACATACATTCTCATTGTGCCCAACCTTCCCACAAAACGTACATGATGCAGTATTGGCATTACTAGCAAAAATCTTCCCCTGCAGTTGTCTCTCCTGTTGGACCACGTAAGAGAAGATCTTAGTGATATGAGGAAGAGGCTCCATGAGCAATATATGTGATTGTACATTGTTGTATTGATCGTTTAAGCCGCGAAGGAACTGCATGGCTTGGTCTTCAATCCTTCGTTGAGTAATATTGGGAAGCACATCACAGGAACATTTGTTCAAACACTTGCACATCAACTCGGGTCTATAATTGTCCAACTCGTCCCATATTATACGAAGCTTAGTGAAGTATTCAGTGACTGAAAGGTCTCCTTGTTTGATGGATGAAGCCTCACGTTGTAGTTCAGAAACACGAAGAAGATCTCCCTGTGCATAACGTGACTTCAAATCGCGCCATATATCCTCAGCTTTGTTCATCCAGACAATGCTCTGCCGAATGGGAAGAGAGACGGGGTTAACAATCCATGATGCAACCATGTTGTTGCATCTTCTCCAAGCACTGTGATACCTATCATCAATGGCTGGTTCTGGAGCACTTCCGTCAATGAACTCCAGTTTGTTTTTGGCACTAAGAGTTGTTTCCATGGACTTGCTCCATGTATGGTAATTATTAAGTTCGAGAACAGGGGAAACAAGAGAAGTGGCAGGATTTTCGCTGGGATGAAGATACAAATAACTATGTATATTGGCTAAAGATTCCGCTCCTTCACTCATGATTGAGGAGACGGAAGTCATGAAGAAAAAATAACGAACGAGTAGCGCAATAGAACTCTTCAATGGAAGAGCTCTGATACCATCACAAAACCAGAAAGAATATAAAGCTGAATAAACGAAAGAAGAAATGAGAGAAAATGCAACCTCATTCTTATCTTCATTATCGAAAAATATCCCATATAAATACAAGGGAAGGAGAAGAAAGAGAAGGTGCATGGTCTGCTAACACAAAGGCAAAAGATAAAAAAGCAAAACGGAAAAGATTCGATACAATGATGCTAACAGAAAAGCGAATGAAACAAAAATAACAGAAAAACTATGAGCTGCATGGGTTGCGGACTGCATGTATGGGCTGCATGAAAAATCTACTCATTGTCATCACGTAGCTCACTGGATGTGTACGTATTTGAGTTGTAAGAGCCCCCCAACGGGGTACGGGGAAGGGAGGTGTAAGTTTAGAAATAAAAAAAATTTTAAGGGTAATTTAGACATTTTATATAATTTTTTTTAAAAAGGGGGCGTGTTTATACGAGAGTGGAGGTGTGTTAATCATCTGCCTAATATGTATTCATCCATTTTTTTTTATTGGCTCTTGGACCCAAGTTATTTAGGATTTTCGACTATATTCGTTCATGATGCGAGTAATTGTCTACTTATTTTAAAGATCAGTATTCACTATTCAGTATGTATGAAAAATCTCCAAAATTTTAATTTTTTTATTTACTTGCATTTACTCCTTCATTTTATTTAAAATTTTATACATTTTATAGTTTTTACTTTTAAAAATATAAAATGTAAAATTATAAAAATATTCATAGTGTAGTATATGTATTAATCTCAAATAAAGGAAAACAAAACATACATTAATAAAATGGCAATTACGTAACTTTCTTATATATAAAGATATAGATTCAAATGTTCTTTATTCTTAATCTTGCAAATTTAGATAATAAGCACATTTAATATATTTTATAATCATGTTCAAATGTTGCATATTTTGATTATAATATATTTTCATCGTATATATTAATAATATTAGCGCGATGTCTTTAGATTTATATGAAAATATAAGAGATAACATAAAAAATTTAAAAGATTAGTTAGAGTAATATGTGATTAAGATTTTATTAAATTGCAGTAAAATAAAGATTTTATCAAAATATTAACTTTTTATTGATATATTGTTAATTCGATTATATTAGTACTTAAAACCCTTAAACAAACTCTTGAGTATGGTAAATGAAAAAAAAAACTTTAAAGTTAAGTGATATTTTACATCAATAATACTATATCGAATAGGTTTCAGATTATTTGGTTGAAGACACTTCGATCCTCACTTAATTAATTATGAAAGGTTCTTAGCTATATATTGAGTAGGTCCAAACATTAGCAAGTAGGTACATCTATTTTGTTTCTCCAATTGATTTATCCTCTTATGTCAACCCTTTCTCCCGACCAGTTGATTATTGTAAAGCTTGATGGTGGACTTAAAAATTTGCAATTTTTGAAAAGTAAACATGTATAAAATGTCGACAAAACTATCTTGATTTACCGATGTTTTCAATATAAGGTATATATTAGTCAATATCAATACTTCTTATAATGCTCTATCAAGACACCTTCTCTTGATGAGTTAGGAGCCATAGTTTTGACATCATACTTAGCTATATAAAGTTTATTTCTTCCATAGGAAGAATAATGACCATTCACGCTTATAAGAAAATGGAAAGGGAATACTACACAACTAGCTTGAAAAGAACTTCCCTGGTAAATCAAATTAAGACCAAGCAACGACATATTTGGATGCTCAAACACCCCTCCTCCTCGGTGGAGAAACAAGTAAACTTAATGGAGTTGGATCCGAGGGTTAGTGGAGTTGAATGTTTTTTAATGTCTCGTCGACTAACAATAACATTTTCTTTCCTATATATGCACCTAAAAAGGATATATTCATTCTTGAAATTACGTATAGTCATATATACATTTCAAATATTTATTAACTTTGACATTGAAATCCTTTTTATATGTATAACCACAAATTTAAATATCGAAAATTACTTTTTGTACAATTATTAAAAAAAATCATTAAGTTTTCAATTGAGGTAAGTAAATCATATCACTATTTACAAATTTTACCTCCTTTTATTATACTATATTAGGGTTTCATTAATTTCGGAGTATTTATCTTTTGTAAAACATGGTCAATACCTCTCAACACGAAAATTAGTATCGTAAATCATAAGAATGTCTGTAAAAATAGTACCGAATAAAGCAATTAAACTTGTGGTAAAAAGAATATTGAATTGAAACTAACAGCTTTCCTAAAAAATAACCTTGGAAAGATATACCCTCTTTGAACCCTCGAATAACAATTCATCTGTGGAGCGCATTTCTAAGTGAGAGCTATGTTTACTGTTTGCATGCAAAAGTGATTATTCCCTTTACCCATTTCGGGTGGGTAAGGTTCTTCATTCCACTAAACAAATCAACCAAAGCGTCCTTCATAGAATACAGAATCCAATACCTTCAGCACAACCTTCGCTCTCAAATCAAACTTCAACAGAGGAAACTTCAAAGATGCGATGCCCACCATTCAGTGTCTCAAAATTTGTGCCACTGTTGATTTATCTCTTTATTTTTATATTTATTTAAAAATTGAGATAATGTTAATTATTACTTTCTTAATGTTACAGTACATTATAAAAAAGAGAAATGATAATTTATAACAGTAAATAAGCTTTTTAATATGTATCTTTAACGTTAACAACAGACAGACAGAGACAGATATCTTATATGATTGAGAGAAATAGTAATAGAAGTATTAGAAAACTGTATTTTTTTATTAATGTATTATTTTATTTAAAGTAGATAAATAAAAATTAATTAATTATCATCAATTATTTGATTGTCTCAGGAGCCATATGGACCCATTCCAATTTCTAAAACTCCACTTAACCCAGTTATCCGTTCTTAATTAGGACCAACCACATCTAAACAACGGAACATAGCACTGCATACACAATTCGTGAGTGGACTACTTTACTGCATTAGCTTAACCAATTTTTAAGGTGTAGCAATCGATGCAAATGCTAAAGTGAGGGACCAAATAAGTTGTGTAAAGCCGGCTTTTCGTGGGATTATGGAAAAAATTGAAAATTTTAAGTATAATTAAAAAAAATAAAGTTTACTTTTGTATATAGTAAAATGGATGAACTAAATTAGATTCAAGCATGCAAGACTTGCTCAATTATTGAATTGCAATTTATAGGCTTTACAACTTTACCTGATGTTTCACAAACATGGAGTCCCCAATCCATTGCTGAACACACCAACAACAGTAGCAAAACTCAACTGAGGAAAATAAAGTTGTAAACTCCACACCCAAAACAAAGAATTTGGAGTCAGGGGAAGAAACAGACTCTGTAATTCTGGTCCCTAAATGTTATAGTAACATAACCTCAAATACTGCAACTTGGAAACTCTTTCAATCTCTACCTTCTCTAACACACCGAATTCAAAAGGCAAACCCCTTAGTCCTAAGTTTATATATCGGTTAGAAAGGGAATAAAAAAAATAAAAGTAGTAGATATTACACATTATTACACTGAATTGTAGAGAGAAAGAAGATAGTGATAAATGATAATCAGACATCGACGTCGCAAGGTGTAACTCCGAGGAGAGGAACTTGACCCACCAAACCTTTCTTCAAACCCATAACTATGTCGCACTTCACGTAGAGTCCATAATGCGCAGTTTTTATGGCCCCAGCCTTCCACCTCAGCCTTCCCTGAAATATAAGCTTGAGACCCACCACCCCGTAAGCCTCGTCCACCGTCAACCCGTTCGAAACCTCCAGGGACACGGGCACCGGCGTGCCTCCGATCACCGGAGCCACCGAGACGGAGCTGTGCTTGCCCTGGTGGAGCGGCGGCAGCAGGACCTGCGGCGTGATGGCCTGGTTCCGGTAGGAGACGAAGGCGGAGAACCTGTCGTAGTAAAGGGAGACGCGCCTGTTGGGGTTCCTTATGAGGACGGAGAACTGCATGGTGGTGGACATGAGCGGCGGGGTGGTGGCGTTGAGGCCGTAGATGGCGGCGCCGACCACCGTGAAGCGGGGCTTGTGGGGGCGGTAGACGAGCCAGAGGACGAGGAGAGTGATGCCAGCTAGAAGGAGGAAGATGGTGATGCCTGTGCACACTGCACGTCGAGGTCCACTCGATCCTTGCTCCTTCGACATTTTCGCTATTCAGAGAGTGTGTGAAGTGAGAGTATGGACTTTAAGATGCGTAAGTTTACTTCATATTTTTACATTTATACATACAAGTGTGTCTCTGGTGTGGGATCTCAACTTTATATAACATTTATTTGTATAACCAAAGCAACTCTCTTTACTACAGTGCTCACTCTTTCTCTTTTCCACATTAACAGTTTCACTAACTCTGAGATTTACTGTAAAACAACCAACTCTCACTAAAGACTAAAGATGCTTTAATAGATCACAAAAGTCGCAAAGGAGAGCTGGAATTGGATCACTTGCTCTTTGAGCACAGGACTCTAGTTTCTCAACAATAATATTCATAAACCTACATAATAAATACTTTTGTATCTCTTTCACCTCATTTTTCCTTTTTATTTCTCTTATTGTTACGTTGCATTTCATATCTTTCACTTTTTCTCTTTTCTTTTTCGAAAGGTCTGTAAACTTAGTCAGCGTATAATATATATATATATGTATATGTAAGGAAAAATGTGTTTATTTTGAAAGGAAAACATGAATTATTAAATAAAATAAATTTAATAGATACAAACAAGGTTGTCTTTTCAATAAAAATGAAATTTTATAATAATGATTCCCAAATAAAAAGTAAATACAAGTTTCAAATAAATTGCGTTCAATAATAAAAAGGTTTATATATATATATATATATATATAATATATATATATATATATAATATATATATATATAATTACTACTATATCCTATAATTAGCTATCCCTCAACCCCAAAGCCCGAAACTAAAGATAAACTAACATACTAATTGATTTGTGACAAATACCGATAATCTTGAGAATAACTGAATCAAGTGCTTCATTTAATTTCTTCAAAGATAAGCTACACAAATAACTTTCATGCTGCTTATGTCAGCTGATCCCAATAGTCAAACCTATAATGAAAATCAAATGTGGAGCCAGCAAAGTTATCCGCTTTCTAATACAGTTTGTGTTTAAAAACAAAAAGAATAATTTCCTTTTCTTATATTAGCATGCGGTGGTGCTTTTAATTTTTGTTCTCGAAAATAAATGAAGCACCAAAAGAGAACAAAAGTAGAGGAGGAGGAGGGGGAACGGAAAGAAAGCTAAAGGAGATGTGGCTCAATTTGACTCCTTTTGCCGACATATGGATAAGCTTAACTTGAAAAATGAACAGTTTCTGCATGCAATGAGAGAGAGATGAGATAATAAGCGATTATGTGTTTGCACTTCAATTTTACACACGTTTGGTTACGTTTGGACCATGCCTCGTCAGATCCTACAGCTAACTAAACATGCTGGGTGTCCCACAACTGGTATGCACGCGTGTCATTCAATTCACACACATCATACATGGTCACTATTAATGCTCTAGGGCGAAAACAGGTGCCCTGTTTTCATCTAGGATTACTCTTCTATATGGATGGATTTGCAACCGGAACAAGTGTTCTCCAAGTTCCAACGAGCCAAGAAAATGCTTTCTAAAGAGTACGTCTATAAAGATCATTCGATTGCAAAACCATAGATACTTTACCGAGATAAAAGGTATTTCAACCTTCTAAGATAGAATCACACTGCCTATATAACGGTAGCCCTATACTAGCATTCAATCATGAAAACATATACACGAGGTAAAATCAAAACTTTAGATCAATCCTACTAAATAGTTACAATCCTAAATTCTAAGAGATAGCCAATATAACAAGCCAGAAGAAAATACTATCAATGCTAATAGGAAAATATTTCACCAGACACTAGACCCTAGAGTTAATCCTTGTGGAGTGAGGCAAATCAGTTTTGGAAGTCAGACTGAAATTCAATGATCAGGGTAATTTGAAACAACAATTTCAGGAACCACCACCCGCATCTGCTACTGGATGATCATTGTGTACTTGGCGAACAAACTGCCCTTTCACCCGAGGACGCTGCTCTGCCAGTCTCTTCCGGCTTTGATATCGCACCTGTGCAAGAAATTTGAGTAATAAGCATCTGAAAGGATCTTCCCAATGTGTCAGTCTAAGTAATCAGATTCAAGATGGTGAGATTTTTAGTTGAATTATGATGTATGAGTTTCCAAATTGGCAAAAACCGCCAATAACATCAATGATAAATTAATGAAGTTTCAAATCCTAAATTCTGATAATTTCAGGAATAAATGGAAGCAAGTAATTGCATGTTGCCCCCGCTATACATTTACCATTAATATTTTTAGATTAGCTCTTTTCAGAAGCAATAATTCCAGGGTCGCAATACCTTTTTCTCATAGCATCTGTCTTTCCGCTTCAGCCGAAACTTTGTTAGAGCTGCTTCACGTTGGCTGGTGCGATGAGAATCTGTCCCTAAGAATCCATCATAACTACGGTGACCACTATCAATAAAACTTTCATGGCTGTCCCCAACTACCTTAGCTGAAGTAGCATTTCCGTCTCTTTTGCAACCTATGCTTCTGTATACACCATTACTATTATGATTTGATGTATCAGCACACTGACCAGCAGCAGAAGAGTCATGTGTCTCACAATCCAAATTGCTTTGATCGTTTACATTTTGATCAGAAACATGGGTTGCATCGTCTGACCAGTGATGACGTTCTGAATTGTGACTTAGAGTATTTGACTGGGAGGAAGTACTTGTGGGAAATGGAGAACTCTCTTTCTGGCACACTGATTTTGGAGTCCGTATGGGATGATTGACAACTGATTGTGCATAAAGCATAGAAGGGAAAACATTACTGTTTTCCATAGACTTGTGATCAGAAGTAACCCCAGTAGCAGGAAACGATCCAAGTTGACTGTTTTGTAATTTTGGATCAGCTTGTCCAGACTGACCAATGACCAGAGTGATGAATTTCTCCTGATTTTGATTTTTTCCTCCGTATTGAAGAGAAGTATATGCATTTTCGGATAATTTATGGGATTCATGAGAATTCTGACTGGCATTTGTTAATTTATCAGAGATAGTAGATGGTGTTGGAAAAAGGGGCTGCAACAACTTACTACTACTGTACCTGCAAATAGGAATTTTATGACATATTATCAGAAATTCTCCAATATATTTTTGAAAAGCTCACTAGGAAACATGCTATGGAATGCACGAATTGATACTAATTTCTTGACCAAGTAAAAAAGGTCCAATTATGCACAGGTCCACACCCTCCCGGCCTCCCCCACAAAATATTCAAACTTTCAAATCTTGGGAAATATTATTCAAATTGCTTAAGACTGAGGATAAAACTAGATATCTGGTGTCTATCTAGAAGCTCGACCAAATTTACCATCATTCAGTGCTTCCACAGACTATAAATGCATGCTCTCAAAATGATTTTAGTCCATATGATTATGATATCAACATTAATCCATCTTTTAACACCACTAGTCCTACATGTAGAACAGCATAATAAACAAAATTGGGAAAGGAACTAGAAATAACATGCCCAAAGCAAAATTATATAAACCGAAGGTAAACTTCATTTTGCTGAATAAAGTTTGATACATTGTTGGAACAAGGAAAGTTTTGTTCAACACCTATCTTCAGTACTTAGTTAAGAATTAAAAAAATCACAACCAAATAGTGAACTCACCGAGAAAAAGCAGACACGTTAGAATGATTCAATATTTGCCTTTCCTCAGATGCAGCTTTACATGAGCTTCCAGGAAAATCTTGTCTTAAAGAAAGTTCCAATTGTGTATCGAAATCAAACTTGGCAGTGTTACCACTACATTTTTCATCAGTTCTGTTTGGAAGATTCTTGAATGTAGCAATCAAATCAATAGCACCAGTAGAAGGATCTACCAGTTCATCACTGCATTCATGTATATCTGTATTAATCTGAGGATTGGCTTTGCTCAACTCTATTCTTAGAACTTCATCTTGATTTTTCTTTTCATGAAAATCGTAGCCTCGACCAACCCTTAAACCTGTTGGTTTAAAAGTTCTGTTGCACCTTGCAGCTTCTGATATAAATATTGATTTCTCTGCAATACCATGCTAACTGTCACTAACAAAATAAGGACAAAAAATATAAACAAAGTACAAAATAAAAGAAAGTTGCATACCTCCAGCTTCGTCATTATATTTATCTGAATCCCTTTCACATTTGGTAGAGTTTTCATGGTTCACTGTGTCAATATTGCTCAAATTTGAAGAGCTCTTTAGCTGCGATATATCCTACATATTTTCCATGTATGTACTCTCAGCTTCCAAAAATCGTGATGTACAAGTGCTTGGCGCAGCAGTTTGCAAAACATGCAGTTTCTATGTGAAATTTCATGAAGCTAGCCTAATCTAGAAATGAAAACTTCCCAAGTTGGGAGAATAGTGGCTTCATATATGCATTGTGGAAGGGATCCCAGTTTTATGTCTTTGTGTGTTACTCAGGCCAAGCAATGAAAGTGAGGATAGAACTTCAGAAATGAAATCGGCACACTTAAAAAGTTAACTGCTGTTTCACATCTAGCACACTGAAATCTAAGAAATTGACCCTTCTAAATATCTTATTGCAGCATATTATTTCAGTGAAATTTTAGGTGCTGGGGAAGGAAAAACTTACTTGAGCCTCACTTGTTTCCTCGCTGCATTCGTTATTTTTTGGTGTAGAAGCCACAGAACCACTTGAATCAGTGCTTGCAGCATCGTTTTCTGCAGCAACACCAAGTTCAATCTGTGGCAGTGTTAAATTCTGCGGAGGCCCGCTAATCTGTATAAAAATATAAAAATGAAACAAAAAAAGAAAAATAAATAAGTCAAATTGTAAGCCCACACTAATATTTAAAAAAAAAAAGTATAAAAATGTTGCCATAATATAATTGAAGAATATGACGTACAGCATGCCTTCTCCATACATGCTGCCACAAGTTTCTTAGCTCATTCTTGCGGACAGGTTTTATAAGAAAATCAGAAGCCCCTTTTAACATGCACTTGAACACCATGCTAACTGAATCATGAGAAGACATCACTGCAAAAGCATGAGAAGTTGAGAACAAGTCTGAGTCCGGTAGCCATATCTAACTATTAATAATTAAGGCCACACAGTGCCGAGTTAACACATACTTATGACGGGAATGTTTTTGCAAATGTCATGCTCCATGATTAAAGTAAGAAGTGAAAATCCAGATATTGATGGCAAATCGACTTCTGTTAATATGAGATCTATATCAGATGCTTTGTCCTTCAATGTCTCCCATGCTTTTAAGCCATCACGAACTGTGGCAACTGCACGTAAAAATTACCATTAAGAAGTTCATAAGCATCTGGAGATTAAAGGTAAAGTAATCTTCCACACACTAGCTTGGAAGGAATTAACTTGCACGGTGCCCACACTACACTAACATATACCAAACACCACACATTTTCATGCAGGAAAGCTGCCCTCATTTTGCTGAAAATACTATTATATTTATTAGTGAAATTGAGACATTCCGTACCTATAGTTGTTTAAAAGTGTTTAAGACTTACTGATGTTTATTAAATCAACTAGTGTTACGTCTAGTTCTCAAACTTTAAGATTAAGATTTTAGGTTTGAGTCTTAGATATGTAGGAATAATTATTTGAACATTTAGGGGTAAAATAGTTTAAAAATTGTGTACATGGAAATAGGGAATCCCTTCTATACCTATTTTATATAGGTATAGATTTAATTAAAAATTACCATATTTAGTGTGTAAGTCGTGATTAGTTTATTTTGCACTTAAATTAAGCTTTAAAGCCAAAAGTTCTGTATTGAGCATTTTGAAGATTGATTTTCTCGTAACAAAGTAAAGGTGGATCTTGTTCTCCAGAAGCCAAATTATGCGTGGATTACTTGATGGAAAACGTTAACACGAAGCTGTAAGTGGATCAAACCAGATTGATAACGAGTTAGATCAAACCTCTAAACCAATAAGTTCAAAAACCGACGCAAAACCAGCAACCTACTCCAGCCGTTCCTTTCCTCTGATTAACGAATGTTGTTATCTTGATCCTTGACCCTCGAAAACATCACTGTTGGGGTTTTTATCCAATTGTTGTTGTGATGTTGACTTACTATTTTTGTGATGAAGCAACTCAATCACGTTAGCGATACACACCTCAATGTTTTCTTCCATGATTCTACATTACATGCATGAATAACAAAAATGCAGTTCAATGCAGTAGGGTCTCAAAACCAGGAATCTGTGTCTTCCTCGTTGAAGGATCGGTGAATTTTTCAAAACGTTGGTATTGGAATTATCTAGTCGAGTAGACATTAAGCACGTTTTAAGAGGAAAGAAAGGTGGTTTTTATTTTCTTGAGAAACACAATTTAAAGAATAAATTTTGAAAAAAGAAAAAGAAAAAGAAAAGAACCTTTGTAACTGCATTTACGGAGAAGTGCAGCAATGATCTGTCGTGTGGAATCATCAGCTTCGACAAGCAACACCCTAAGCACCATCCGAGGCAGAAAGCGTTCCCACCGAACCGCCGAGGCATTGTTGCTCTGTTCCCCCTGCGTCTGCATCACTTCACCCATTCTCAAACAAGTTGTTGCTGCTGCTGCTGCTGCTGCATTAATCAAAGCGTATGAAACAAGAAAGCCCTAATTGGACGCCAGAAAGAAGAAGAAAAAGAAGAAGAAGAAAAATCCACCTCATGCTTAGTCTTAAGTTGAGCAGTGAAAATATCTGAAAAGTCCGCTAAATTGAGTGGAGGCAAAGAGAGAGAGAGAACTTGGCAATTTTCAAACCGCCTTCAATACTCGAAGCCTCGCCTCACAAGTCACAACCGCGAAAATCCTACAAAATATCTTCTCACACAACTTCCATTCACGTGGCCTGTCTTTCGCCTGATGACGTGTCCCATTCTCCACCATTGGTTTCTGATTTTCCCCTCTCCCAGTGGGATCCACCCTTTAGACACGTGCCTACTTCTCATTCCCATACCTTCCTACTTCATTCACAAAAATAAAGATAAAAAGAAAATGTTTAATTTACAAATATGAATAATATCATACGCCATGACACCTCAACACTGTCACATGACTTTAACAAGGCGAGATATTTTTTGCCACGTCAGCTATGCGCTACCACATTTGACATTTGGGTGCCCCTGGTGGCCACTGTGACACGTGGAACCTCCCTGATTCTGTGGCTCTCATGACCTGAGCCACCACCACCGCATCTTTTTCTTTCAATTATTTCCTCTCGCTTGCTTTTACATTTCTCTTTGCCACCACTTGTTTTTCCTTTTTCCCCCAACTTCTAACTGTCCCAAACGTATCCCACTCTTCTACCGCACTCACTTCACACACAAATGTGCAAATCGTTTCCTGCCAATATTTCATTAGTGGTCCCCCAATTGTTTGGTAAAAAACTTTTGAGAAATTCTATGGTACCCATCTTATTTGAGAGGGTACCGGTACAGTTTTTTATATTTTATATTTTTAGTAATTTATTTAAATAATATTTATAATATTTTATCCTTTCAATTTTTAAATTATTTAGTCATTTTATTTTTATTTTATATATTCTAATTTATTTGTAATAATATTATTATATATTTAAATAGTTTAATTTTAATAATTTTTTAAGTATATTTTTATCTTTTCACTTAAAATTTTTGAATTTTTATATTTTAATTTTAATAATTTTTTAAGTATATTTTTTGTCTTTTTGTCTTAAATTTTTGAATTTCTATATTGTAATTTTAATAACTTTTTATTTCTACTATTTATTAATTTTTTCTTTTTCTTTAATATTTTATAATATTATTGAAAACTTATAATTTTAATCTCTATAATTTTATCTTACTTTTTATTTTATAAGTATAATTTAGATTATTTATTTTATAATTAAATTAATTTTTTTTAAAAAAATTTATGAATTTACATAGAAAAATGTATTGAAACCCTTCCATCTTTGAGGGTACCGTAGCAACTCCCAAAACTTTTTCCATATAATAATCATAAGAAGACGCTTACATTTCTTAATCTACTTTAATATATATGACAAATTTGTAAATCTTTTTATATTTATGTATTTTAAAGTTAATTTTATTAATATTATTTAAATTATATTAATTATGGGTTTATGTATGATTTGAATATGATATTCAATTATCTTGCCTATGTCAGTTGGATATAGTGTATGATTATACTTCATATTGGATTATATTATCTGTGATATTGAATTATAACTTACTATTTGATTATGCTGTTTGTGCTACCTGTTTGTGACTTTGATTTTTTCCATATTTGATTGTTTATTTAGTTATTGCATTAATGTATGAAAAAGATAAAATGATAATTTTACATATTATATATTTTTACAAAAAATTTAACTTAATAAAATACAACTTTTAACTATTAATTTATCACTATTTTTTAACTAATTCTACTATATCAATCAATTATAAATTTTATTTTATTTTTTTTAGATATTTTTTATCAAATCAATTCATATATATAATTAGTCAAGAACTTCCAAATGAGAGCATCTCTGCCATTGCCTTTTGATTGAATTCTTTTAGAATATTTATAGCCTCTAAATTTGAACAGATAGAAAGAATCCTTCTCCTATCTCACTCACTTGTTTGATTATCTAGAAGGTCATACGCCATCATCCCTTCATTCCCCTAACATCGTTGTAATTATGCAACAAACCATCATGTAAAGTTGGAACCCACTTGTCTTTCTGTATTTCCGCTTTACTTCCATCACCAATTCTCCAAATACCACCTTCCTCAGGACCTCAACCAGCCACTTTGAGGACAAAATAATTTTTTCCAAATTCTATACGCGTGTTTGCTTCAGCTTTTAAACGTGAAAATTCATGTTTGTGGGAAGCACAAATATTGAAACTTTCACGTAAATTTATTTATAAACGTAAAGAGAGAAAGAAAAATTACGTTTATAAATCGAAACCAAACACGCACCAAGTGTAACTTTGCTTTTAACTTTTGGTTGCAACGAAAGCTAATTCATTAGAAAAATATCTTGCTCTCAAAACTCTAACCATGAGAGAATCATCAAAATGAGCTATTATCCACCACTGATTAGGCAAAAGTGCTGAGTTGAAAGTTGTAAGTGTTCTATACCAAATACCTCCCCTTCTTTTTTGTTTTGCTATCCTCTTTCTTTCAACTTAACCAACAAATCTTTTGTTGGTCAACATTTTTACCTTAATAAAAAATTTCAACAAGACCAACCTAGCTACGTAAACAATGGGACAATCGAAAACAACCCATAACATGTGTACATAGATTGGACCACAATTTTATTCAAGACCTCTCTGATTCTAGAAGTTTTTTCCTTTCACTATTGAACTTTTTCCAAAGAATATCTCGAGCAAAATTAAAAACGTGAGATCTTGATCTTCCTATCAGAAAAGGGAGGCCCAGATATGTCTTTCCACTGCCGTCTCAACAAGCCTTTCAAGTTCATTTAAATATTATTTTACTCGAGTAATAGGTGGGTTAAGCTTCAAGAGGGAAAAACTAACAATACAATCTCTGAAATAGTATCCCCATTCATTTTGTTATCCATAAATTAACAAAATGGATATTTTAACATATCAGATAAATATTCATTTTATATAAATAAACTTAATAATAAATGAATATTTTAAAAAATATAAGTTATATTATAATTAAAATTGTAATAAATATTTTAAGATATAACTTATATTCTAAATCTATGATAAATAATTTATATTGTGATATAAAATATTTTAATTATTGATATTTATAAATAAAAATAATAAAAAAACATTAGAATCAGTTTAAAAATAAACACAAAAACTTAAAATTAAAAAGATACGAAGTTGAGAAAAATTTTAAAAATACTTTTCATCGAATAAATTATCAAAAAAACGCCCTCATTCAATATAAATATTTTAATTTAACACTTGTCGCTTTAATCTTTAAAATATTATATAAGAAATTTTTCTCTTATTTTTTTAACCTTATTTCTTATTTTAGAGTAGAGATATTTAATTTTAAAAATATAAAATTTTAATTTTACCGTCAATTTATATTTGTTGACTATTAATTTTAACATCAATTTGTGAACTAACATTACTTAAATAACATGATATTTATTAAAAAAAAATAGACATACAAATAAAGTTTAATAATAAAATAAATATTGATCACTCATGAAAATAAATATAAATGAATTTTTTTTTGTTATTTTTTTATTTTTAAATGTCATGTTACTAAACATAGTGATTACAAATCATAGATCAACATTAATATTTAATGACCAATTAATATCAAATTTATATTAAGAGAAAAATTAGTATTTTACAAAAAAGGGAAATAAGGGAGCGTTTGTTAAGAGAGAAAAAATTTATATCCAGGGATAATGATTCTTGAAAATTATAAATCTTAAGATTTATGATTTTTAGGAATAATTAAAATTTGTTTGATTACTCATAAAAGTTATTGAAAATATTCATACAAAATTTCAGGTAATTAAATATTTTCATGTTTGGTTACAATATTATATTTCTGACTATATAAACATTTTTTATAAAAATAGCCTTTATTAAAATAAATTCATTAGATATATTTATTTACTCAAATTTTATTAAAATATGACATTAAACTATTTTAAAATTTTGAAAACTTATAGTTAAAATTATTTAAATACAAAATTCAACAAAAGAAATAAACAAAGAAAAATGTTACATAATAAATATGAAAGATAAAAATATATATTTTATTTTTATTCAAATAAATAAATAAGTGTTAACAAATATCAAGAAATAAAATGAACTTTAATAATATTATTAAGATTGACAATGTCAAAAAATAATAAGATACAAGAAAGAGAATATAGAGATATGAGAGAAAGAGAATGAGAGAGGAATAAAGGGATAAAGGAAAATATAAAGAAAAGTTTTTTATTTTAAAAAAGGATATTGTTGTTTGTTTATATGCATAAAATTTTTATTCTAACTCGGGAAAGTTAGATTTTCACCTTGCATGAGAAATTTTATGAAAAAATAAGATAAAAATGATTTTTAACAAACTATATTTTTGAGACTTTTTTTTAAATATTTATCAAACATGAGAAAACAAGATTTTCAATTTAACATTCTAAAAAAATAAAAATATTTTACATACCAAACACCTTTTAAGTGTCTTTATTCTAAGACTAAATTATAAATGGATATTCATCTAATTACGTAATTAACATGCATAAATCAATTTAATATATTTTTTAATATTTAGAATAATGTTAATTTTTTTTTTAATTTTTACAATTTTACTTATTTTTCCTTTAAATCATTATAATTTAAAATAAACTTATTTAGTATATATACTTATATTTTCAAACATTTTTAGTTTTTATAGATTAAGATAGAATTTTTTAGTCCATATACTTATTATTTTTTAATCATTTTAGTTTCTATAGTTATTATTTTTAGGTTTATATCCCTATCGTTAATACAAAATAAATAATGTTATAAAAATAATAACAATAGAGACTAATTTTTTTTAAATAAAAAATATAAAAATTATAAATATTTATTTTAAATTATAGGGGTTAAAAATGAAATTATAAAAAAAATATTTTAATTTTTAAAAATTATATATCATAATATTTAATTATTTTATGCGAGTAATTTTTAAATTTTAATACCTGATATATTGTATAATTTTCTTATTTTACTCTTTAAGGATCATTTAAAAAATAGAATAATATTTTAGGATGAATTTAAGGAAGGTTTAAATATGTTTTTAGTTCCTCAAATTTAAAACAAATTTATTTTTTTGTCTTTCAAATTAAAAATTATTAGTTTTAGTCTCTATAATTTTCAAAAATTTTGTTTTAATCCCTCATATCACTAATAATATATCTTAGAGTAAAAATTTAAGATGATTATGTATTGTCAACCGGATTTAATATAATGTTTTCACTAATAGGTATATTAATAAGTAGATTTTATACAATAATATTTGATAAATTTTTTAACAAAATTTAAATATAAGAATTAAAATAAAAAAAATTAAAATTATATGAACTAAAAATAATAATTTTAAATTTAAAAAATAAAAAATAAATTTATCCTAAATTTGTAAACTAAAAATATAAAAATATATTTAAGCTTTATGGAATTATTAGAAAAATATTATTGTAAAGCTGGTGACTCGTGACCAGTGATTAGTGAGGAAAAGAAGCAGTGCGTTGTTCTTGCCTTCCCTTTCCAGCTTCCTTTGTCCCCGAAGAGATGCACAGAGCATTTGTTCGATCCAAAACCCTAATCCCCGTTGCTTCCCATCGCATCTTCTTCTCACCAGCAGTGCCCCTGCACTTGCAAAACCAAAAGCAACAACACGCTTTCCACTCCTCCAATAACGACACTGGGAAAACCCCATCATTCGGGTCACCAACAAGAGTCCAGAAACTAATAGCTTCCCAATCAGACCCTCTTCTCGCCAAAGAAATCTTCGACATAGCCTCTCGCCAACCCAACTTCCGCCACACTTACTCCACCTACCTCATTCTCCTCCTCAAATTCGGTCGCTCCAAACACTTCTCTCTCCTCGACGATCTCCTCCGTCGCCTCAAATCCGATTCTCACCCCATCACCCCCACCCTCTTCTCCTACCTCATTAAAATCTACGCCCAAGCCAATTTACCCGACAAAGCCCTCAAAACCTTCTACACCATTCTCCACTTCAATTGCAAGCCTTTAACCAAACACCTTAACCGCATTCTCCAAACCCTCGTTGTTCACCGCGTCTACCTTCGCCCTGCCTTCAACCTCTTCAAGGATGCTCACCGTTACGGCGTCCAACCCGACACGAAATCCTACAATATTCTCATGCGTGCATTCTGTCTTAACGGGGACATTAGCATTGCCTACTCCCTCTTCAACAAAATGTTCAAGAGAGACCTTGTTCCGGATATCGAGTCTTACCGCATTTTGATGCAAGCCTTGTGTAGGAAGAGTCAAGTCAATGGAGCAGTTGACCTTTTTGAGGACATGTTGAACAAAGGCTTTGTTCCGGATTCTTTGACTTATACCACTTTGTTGAATAGTTTGTGCAGGAAGAAGAAGCTCAGGGAGGCTTACAAGCTTCTTTGTAGGATGAAGGTCAAAGGGTGCAACCCTGACATTGTTCATTATAACACTGTTATATTGGGGTTCTGTAGAGAAGGGCGTGCTCACGATGCTTGCAAGGTTATTGCTGACATGCGGGCCAATGGGTGCTTGCCTAATCTCGTGTCTTATCGTACTTTGGTGAGTGGTTTGTGTCACATGGGAATGCTTGATGAGGCTGGTAAGTATGTGGAGGAAATGCTGTCCAAAGGCTTTTCTCCTCATTTTGCTGTTGTTCATGCCTTGGTGAAGGGGTTTTGCAATGTTGGTAGGGTTGAGGAGGCTTGTGGAGTTCTCACCAAATCACTTGAACATGGGGAAGCTCCTCATGTGGATACTTGGATGGTCATAATGCCTGTAGTATGTGAAGTGGATGATGGTGTGAGAATTGGTGAAGCTTTGGAGGAAGTTCTAAAGATTGAAATAAAAGGGCATACTAGAATTGTGGATGCTGGCATTGGTTTGGAGAACTACTTGATTAGGAAGATACAATCAAATTCAAGAACATTGTAAAACGTCTGTGGGACTTACACCTTACAAGCATGCGTTAGTCATCCATGTCGGATCTTTGAGGTCTGTTAGTTACTCTCCAAGTTGTGCACCCTACATACCATTGCCTCTGACTGTTTGCCCAAGAAGCTTACATGCTTTTCTATAGTAATCAAGGTTATTAATGACGGTGTTACATGTCAATCATAATTATGCAACTTGTCTGGAATATAGAGGAAAATAATTCTTGATCTGAGGACAGCTGGGAGATCCAACAATTGTCCGGTCCTTGGAACGCCAGAAGCAGGGACGGAGACAGCTGCTCAAACTAACGCTGTTATTTTCTGTAAGCTATTCAAGTATTCGACTTGGAAGTCTTACATACATGTCCAAACATCACTAGTTTGACATCTTAATCTCTAGAAATCGTGCTTCTTTAGTTCGACTCCTGTCATTCTTGTCATTTTCATTCAATCCTTTTCAGATGAGTAAATCTCCCTTCCCAATAATTACAGATTTAAATATGTATAGATAGATATATGCAATAGAAAGAAGAAATTTCCTTATATCAGCTTTGATATATTTTATCCTTTGATTTATGGTTGATTCCATATTTTCTTAGTGTTTTTAAATTTTTGGTCACTGTTTTTCATTTGAGTTCTTAATGCAAGAGATATGGAATTGTGAGTACCTCATATTGGAGGATAGAGTCACATCTAATTGTATCTCTTGCATGTCATCTGAATAGTTGTAATGTATGTTTTTCATAACAATCTGAACATATAAATTTGGGATAATTTTTCATAAACTTCAGCTATATTTACTATTTAGGAATAAAACATCAAATCTATGAATCTTTGTTCTCATCACTTAAATATATCGGATATTACGTAAAATATTAGAGATATTAATTTGGATAAAAGTTTTTAATAAGGAATAAGACTTCCTATAAATTAATAGATTCAAATTACTAAAACAAGAATTAGACTATATTAGATTGAGCTATTAGGTTTGATGAAGAGGAGAAGGAATCACCCACCAAGTAGTTTTTAAATTATTATTTCTTTTATTTTATGTAATTGTTATTTTCTATGTTATTTTTTTTATTATGTCTTTAATTTGTTTGATCACGTGAGTATATGACTTAAAGATATTTTTAATTCTTTAAATTAAAAGTTAGTTTGTTTAGTTCGTGTAATTCTTATACTTAAATTTTATTAGAAAATTTGTTAATTATTGTTGTATAAAATCTATTTATTAGTATTTGTGTTAGTGAAAACATATTAAACTCAATGCGATGTTACATAATTGTTTTAATCTGTCATTTTTAAATATATTATTAGTGACTTTATAAACTAAAATAAAATTTTAAAAATTTACAAAGACTAAAAACAAATCTATTAAAAGAAGTTCCTTATCGGACCGACATTCTTAACCTCAAGTTGAATATTTTGTTGTCACTCACAAAATCATGTTTTTCAACTTTCAAATACAGATAGATACTGCTGACAGCAATTTGAAATACAACTAAGTGTACAAATCCAGATTTTGATGGAATTCTCACAGTTGGTCAACTCTCTTGATGGCATTTTCTAGTTCAGGAAGGTTCTCGCATCAATCTCAGTTATACATACCACCACAACAGAGAGCTTCCTCCCAAGACAGCCAAAATTGCAGCAATCCCTACAAAAAAATCTGCGCATCTAGTTAGATCTCAGTCCTCTCTCTCTACACCCTCTCTAATCACTAGCGTACGGCCACAAAACTCCTGCAACAAAGATCAGACTAGGTATCAAACACAAGCAATGAAATAAGAAGCACAACAATAGAAAGTGGCAGATGCAGATTTTACTGTTCCGTTGAGGGACATTGCTGTATCACGTTCTCTCTCTGAAAGATAAGAGACAAACGCATAGAACCTGCGCTTCCCTTGTCTCAAATCATGCAACACCCTTACACTAGCCACGTTACCAAATCTACCGAAAAGTTGTCTCAAGTCTTCAGGCCTAGCAGCCTTGGAAAGATTCCCAACATACAACTTATGAGGACCTTCATAGTATATAACTCTCTTGGGTGATGAGTTCATTGTATCAAGATTCCTCCTGTTAGGATTCATCTCAGCAGAAAATCTAACCCGCATTTCGCGCCCACCAACATCCTTCAGTTGTGAAAAAACAAAATTTCAGATCAAACAGGAAGAACTCATTGATCAAATAGATAAAGGAACCGGTTTCACAGTCACTAACCGATCCATCCAATGCAGCAATTGCATTCTTTGCGGAGTTAATAGATGCCATTGTGACATAAGCACTCCCTCTACTTTCACCCGTCTCCTCACTCCGGCAAATCTGCATAAAAGCAATCAAGCATAATATACACAAGACCTTGTGATGATTCCACCATTGCTGATTCAGATTGTAACAATGAAAAGAGACAATTGAACTTGCTAGTTAATAAATGAATGAATGAACGGAAGATGATATCAACCTCTGCAGGTATATATATAGTATAATAATAGAACAATATTTTTATATTAAATTTACTTTTTTGAATATAAAATAACAGAACAATGTTTTGATATTAAATTAAATTAGCTAGTTTGAAAATGAAACAGCGTGTGCTTAATTTTTATTTTATTTTTGAAAAACTCTACTGTACCCTTAAAAGTTTAAAGGATTTTGAAACATTTTTTTTTTAAATACGAGAATACTTGGTTATTTAAAATAATTTGATTATATTTATTTTTTATTTAAATATATATATTTTCATAAAATTCTTAATATAAATATATATATGTATATATTATATGAAACATTTAAATTTATTCAAAATATTTTTCATATATTATGAATCATGATAAATTGAAAATTTTCATATTTATATGTAAATTTTGATCAACAAATTAAATAAAAAATTTACAAAATCTTTCTCTATTTCAACAAATAAAATTTTATTATTATTTTAAGTTATTTGGATTTCTGCATAATGATTTAAAGTATTTACCTTAATATTTAATGAAAAATAAATAAATTATTTGTTTATCAATAACATAGAGAAGAAGAAAAAAGTGAAAATAAAAAAAAATACATTTTAAATAATTTTTATTGATTTTAAAAATTAAAAAATATTGTAATAACTCTCCTTTTTTTTTTTAACAAAATTGAAAAGTTTCAAGACAAGATAGATTATAGTAGGATGTTAATTGTTAAATAAGCAAAAAAAAACCTCTGCAGACAGAACAGTTCCGTGAGGGTTGAAGATATGAAGCAGTTGTTCTGTGTCACAGCTTCTTGGAAGGTTGCAGACGTAGACTTCGGTGGGTCTTGGCTGCTTCCATGTTTCTTCCTCCACCGTTTCTTCATCCACCGGCGCCGCCAAGGCAGTGAAAGCCCTAGCCTTAGAGGTGCACCCTGCGACAAAAGACAGACAAGAGGAAAGGAATGGTTTGGGAGGTCGGAATTGAGGGTTTTGGTTGAGTAAAGATGAAGAAGTGAATGCGAGAGAAAGAGCTGCCATGTTTAGCCTCGAAGTCCTACAGTCATAGTAGAGTTAAGCTAGTCTAGTGTTTAGTAGTAGAAACCCAATCCATTTAATCACGCAAATCGGAGCTACAACTTTATTGAATTGTTTATCTTCGTTAAAATATTATTTTAATCCATATAATTTTACGTATTTTATTATTTAATTTTTATAATTTAAAATATGTTTTTTTTTATTTTTATAATTTAAAATACTTTTTTAATATTTATATTTATAGTTTTTTAATTTTTTTTTGTCTCTTGCTAACTTTTATGTAATGTTGTTTTTCTTAGTTGACAAAAATATTATTTTAATTTTGTGTATATAATATTAAATTTATATTATCAAAATTATTCTAAATTAAGTTTTAATATTTTGTGTCTCGTTTATATTTTTATTTTTTATTTATGACGTATATTATTTAGACATATTTTTTTATTCTCTTAAAATTAAAAACCTCTATTATATTAACGACAATGTTATAAAAAAATTTAATGATAAAAATTAAAAAAATATACTTTAAGTTATAAGAACTAAAAATAATAAAAAAAGATAAATATTGAAACTAAAAATATTTATTTTAAAGTATAAAAATTAAAAGATAAAATAAATAAAATTATATGTACTAAAAAATATTTTAACATTTTTTTATCTATAAAAATTACAATTAAAGAAGTTTGAACTTAAAACTTTATTTATATTTCAATATTTTGTTTATTACTAATAGACACTTTTATAAGCTTTGTGGTGAATGTTGACTTCTGTTTTTTTTTTTTTAATAGAATACTAACTTCTTTTGTCTTTGTAAGGTTTATAATATATACATTTTTTTATAAGTACATCTTATTCTAAAAAAAATAAATTCTTAGAATATTTTTAAATTTTTAATTTCCTAATTTTTTAATCTTATGTCTCTGAAGTTTAATTTAGTACTTTTTTTTTTCACACATCATCTTCCATTTTTCTTTTAATTTTTACATGCAATATTTTACTTTTCTTTCATTCTCAACCTATTTTGATATATAATTTTTTTTTTATTTTTACATTACTCTCTTTCCTCCTTCCTTTTTTAGTATTCACACTATTATTGTCTTTTTCCCCTCTTTTAATTTGTACACACACGAGATGTAGAATTAGTATCATAGTGTGGAGAAAAGATAGACACTAGAAAGAGGTCTAATAATATTAATTGAAAACTCGCATTTTTCAAGTAGTGAAGTAATATGCTAACAGTTAAGAGACAAGGTATTTTTATATATTGGTTGTCTCAGTCACCGAGACTACGTTCAATTATCAATTTAACCAGATTAAATTTCATTATCTTAAACAAGATACAAGTATTTATTCAACAAGTCACATTTCACGTTTGGCTCAAACCTAAATGTTCTTTAAATTGCCTCTTTTAAATAATCTATCTAAGTATTGTTTTCACACAAAACCTCTTCAGGTTTCAAAATCAAGTATTTTTTTTACAGTCAAGTCTCTCTAAGCTAAAACAATAAGTGTTTTTTTACAAATAAGTTTCTCCACACTCAAACCCAATAACTCAAAGTTACTAAGGTTTACAAAGTTGTTTCATCTTCCTATCAAGACTTGATACAACAATTAGGTACAGAGACTTTTACAAAAAAAATATATGTTTATTATAAAACTTAGTTCTTCTATGTGTATATGCCTCTATCTTCTTCTTGTTTATGAAACTTTTTATATAATAGTTTGGATGAAGATAATCATCGCAAAATCTTGAAGATTCCTAACAAGTTTGCTTTGTCTATCTTCTTTATAGGTTTATTGAGGTGAGAAATGTTCGTTAATGCATTAAATACTTTTTACCAAGTTGTCACTTCTTATATGATAAATGAAGCTACTTATCATCTTTAGAACACTAAACAAACTATTTGTAGTGTGTCAGTGAGAAAGCATGACTTCTTTTTCTTTAACAAATTTGTGAGTTCTAAACAACTTTCACAGTTTGATTTGTTACGGAAACGTAGACATGCAATGAGTAGTCGTTTGTCTTTATAAATGATAGACATTTAAGATTATATAAGGACATACTGTATGCTTCGTCTGATGGCACATTGTCTGCCTAACGATTTGCATCTTATGTTTCATTTGATGATAATTTTTCAAAAACATTATCTTAGAAAAATGTTTTGTTTGTTATCATTAAAACTTTAAAATTTTTAGAGATTTAAGATTGTCTTTTGATTTAACATACAATATTATAAGTGCATGTGATTTCCTCGATAGTGTGAAGGTGTTGAGCTAGATATGCATTTTTTCTTTGAACATTTCATCTCCTTTTACACTTTTAAAAAGCACAATATTAAATTTAGTGTTCCAAATAATTTTAGTGTTCTAAAAAAACTTTTCAGAATACTAAAACTAGTGTTCCAAAAAGCATTTTTTTGGAATTATGTTTTTAACATACTTTCAAAAAGTATTTTTTCATAATATTAAATTTACTATTTTATAAACAATTTTTTTTAATTATGTAAAATAACATACTTTTAAAAAGTACATTTCAAAAGCGTGTTATTTTTCATAATTCTTAAAAATTCTTATTGAAATAGTAAATTTAATGTTTTGAAAAATATGTAAAAACATAATTCAAAAAAATACTTTTTAAATACTAATTTTATTATTTCAAAAAATACTTTTCAGAATATTGAAATTAATGTTTCAAAAAGTGTTTTGTAATATTAAAGTTAATGTTAAAAAAATATTTTTTAAAATATTAAATTTAATGTTTAGATTTATGAAAGTGCAAAAGGATTTAGATGTGAGATTTCTACAACATGTTATCACATACCAATTTATGTATTTAAAAATAAAAAAACAGAGAGAAAGTAATATAAAAATTAAAATAATTAAAAAAAAATTCAAAAGATGTATCCATAACACACATGATCAATTGAAGCATTGGATATTAGATTAAAATTTGAATGAAAAAATTGAGTTTAATATTGAATGCTTTTGATCATGTGTGTTGTGGATACTATCTTTTGAAATTTTCTTTTTATTAAGCTTTATATTTTACCGTCTAATTTGGGGAGGAAATGAAATGCCCCGAAACGTAGCCTTATTAATTGATTAATTAACTATCGCGTAAATTCAGAGTTAAACAAAAACTTCCCCCTGTTGCTGTTACCATTGTTGTTTCAGATCTCATCTGATCTGAATCTGAACGCGAGAGTAGGCTGCGTGCGATTGATGGTGTGAGAAAGATGGGCGCTACTCCTGAATCCAACGGGAGTGCACCGGACGAAGATAACGGCAGCGCCGCCGGTGGCTCAATAGATTTCGGCACGGCGGAGGCTGTGGAGTACGTGCGCTCCCTCACCGACGTCGGCGCCATGACGCGCCTCCTCCATGAATGCATCGCGCACCAGAGAGCGGTGGACGTGGAACTCGACGAGCTTCTCTCCCAGCGCACCGACCTCGACCGCCACCTCCTCCAACTCCAGCGCTCCTCTGACGTCCTCGACATCGTCAACTCCGACGCCGACTACATGCTCTCCAACGTCACCTCCACCTCTGACCTCGCCGACCAGGTCAGCCGCAAGGTCCGCGAGCTCGACCTGGCGCAGTCGCGCGTCCGCTCCACGCTCCTCCGTATCGACGCCATCGTCGACCGCGCCAACTCACTCGAAGGCGTCCACCGCGCCCTCGACGCTGAGGACTACGAGTCCGCCGCGCGCTACGTCCAGACCTTCCTCCAGATCGACGCGCAGTACAAGGATTCCGGCTCCGATCAGCTCCAGAGGGATCGCCTCTTAGCCGCTAAGAGGCAGTTGGAAGGAATCGTACGGAAGAAGCTCTCCGCCGCCGTCGATCAGCGCGACCACCCCGCCATTCTCAGGTTCAGTGACGATTTTAGAAATTTTAACTTACAGGAGCAATGCTCTTATTGTTATGCTAGCAATTTATAATTATAATTATAATTATACATATACATCATAGATATGAGTAAATTGTATGCACCTACGGTGGAAAATTTTTATACTGTTATAATCACAATTTGGCCAGCTGAGGGAGATTAGTGTTTGATCGTGAGTTTGAGACACTGTGGATATGTTCATGGACCAAAAACAATGTCATGTATTTAAATTTTTCTATACTAACATAGTAACATTACATATAAATTTAACTCGATAATGTATTAAGAATAGTTATCACTGCTCAGGTTCATTCGGCTCTTCACCCCGCTGGGTGTGGAGGAGGAGGGTTTGCAGGTGTACGTTGGGTACTTGAAGAAGGTGATTGCGATGAGGTCGAGAATGGAGTTTGAGCAATTGGTGGATACGATGGACCAGCGGGATGTGAATTTTGTTGGGTGTTTGACCAATTTGTTTAAGGACATTGTGCTGGCTATTGAGGAGAATAGTGAGATCTTGAGTGGTCTTTGTGGGGAGGATGGTATTGTGTATGCCATCTGTGAGCTTCAGGAGGAGTGTGATTCTCGCGGTTCTGCGATTTTGAACAAGTACATGGAGTATAGGAAGTTGGCTAAGTTGTCATCTGAGATAAATGCACACAACACCAATTTGCTTGCTGTTGGAGGAGGTCCTGAGGGTCCAGACCCAAGAGAGGTTGAGCTTTATTTGGAAGAGATTCTCTCCCTTATGCAGCTTGGTGAAGATTACACTGAGTTCATGATTTCAAAGATCAAAGGACTTACTTCTGTTGATCCTGAATTGCTGCCTCGTGCCACCAAGGCTTTCCGGAGTGGCAGTTTCAGCAAGGTGGCGCAGGATTTAACTGGCTTTTATGTCATTTTGGAGGGATTTTTCATGGTGGAGAATGTCAGGAAAGCAATAAGGATTGATGAACAAGTGCCTGATAGCCTTACCACTTCTATGGTGGATGATGTGTTTTATGTCTTGCAGAGTTGCCTGCGGAGGGCAATATCCACTTCCAATATCAGTTCTGTTGTTGCAGTTTTGAGTGGTGCCAGTAGTTTGCTTGGTAATGAGTATCATGAAGCCTTGCAGCACAAAATAAGAGAGCCAAACCTTGGTGCAAAATTGTTCTTTGGTGGCGTTGGTGTGCAAAAGACCGGGACTGAAATTGCAACAGCTTTGAATAATATGGACGTTAGCAGTGAATATGTTCTCAAGCTAAAACATGAAATTGAAGAACAGTGTGCTGAGGTGAGTTGTATATTTTTAGTTCCTTACAGTTATACTTTATGATGAAATTCATTAAATTGAAGCAATAAGTATGGCTGGCGCACATCTACCTTATGCATGGTGTGCCCAGGTTTCCCTTACTGGGTAATTTGAGATTCCTAGGGTAGAGATTAATCATAAGAGAATTTGTTTTTTTTATTGAAAATTGTAATAAAAACTGATAGAGCAATTGTTTCTGTGTTATTTAATTTGTGCAGGATGTAGTTCTGAAATTGTAGTAACATGGGTTAGAGTTTTATGAGCCATGTACACATAAGTCTTAGATAAAATATGTAAAGATGGCAGAATATAATGCAACAATTTCAAGATTCTCATTTTGGCAACTTCAAAATCACATATAGAGGATGTTACTGTCTTCAAAACGTTGTGAATCTTGTGATAGATGCATGATCAAGCATGTAGCCATCCTTTTGTTAACATAGATCTGGAGATGATTGATTAGAGGAATGTGTTCAGTGTTCACTCAGAGTATGCTTTAGAAATGGTTATATTCATGATTTCACTTTATGAACTATGTACTTACATTACATGCCTAATGTCCTCTTGATTCAGCTATGACCCCAGATAGAACTCTGATTTATCTCATTATGAAACCAATAGACCATAGTGCAAAGTATCCATATAGCTCAGAACTGTGTTTCTTTGGTACTGATAGAGATTGATGTAATCTTGAAGTCTTGATGGGATTTGGAAGGATTCTTTCTATTCTACACTGTATGCTTCTTCTGTGGTGCAATTTTGTGATTAAATATGACATGTTTGTCCTTAGCCTCATTAACTGCTTCCCCCTTCACTTTTAAATGCAAGAATGTAGCTGCAACTGACTTACAGATTATTAATATTTGTTTAACAAACATTTCTCAATTTATATAGCTCTGTCAGTTTGGCCTTTGTGGATTCATAAACTATACGCCATTTTTTTCTTTTATGGCAGTTTGGCCATGTGATATATAATTATATATCATTTTAAAATTGTGGAATTAACTGACTAAATTACTTTATACAGGTGTTTCCTGCACCAGCTGATCGAGAAAAGGTAAAATCTTGTTTGACTGAGTTGTCAGATAGCAGTAATGCTTTCAAACAAGCCTTGAATGCTGGCATAGAACAACTTGTGGCAACCATTACACCTCGAATACGACCGGTATTAGATAGTGTAGGAACAATCAGCTACGAGCTTTCAGAGGCTGAGTATGCAGATAATGAGGTGAATGACCCATGGGTTCAGAGACTTCTCCATGCTGTTGAGACTAATGTGGCATGGCTGCAGCCACTAATGACTGCAAACAATTATGATACATTTGTTCATTTGGTTATTGATTTCCTTGTGAAAAGGCTAGAAGTCATTATGATGCAGAAAAGATTTAGTCAGCTAGGTGGTCTTCAGCTTGACAGAGACGCTAGAGCTTTGGTAAGCCATTTCAGTGTGATGACACAAAGAACTGTTAGGGACAAGTTTGCACGTCTTACTCAAATGGCAACAATTCTAAATTTAGAAAAGGTGTCTGAGATTCTAGATTTCTGGGGTGAGAACTCTGGACCTATGACCTGGAGATTAACTCCAGCAGAGGTTAGGCGCGTATTGGGTCTGCGAGTTGATTTTAAACCAGAAGCAATAGCTGCTCTGAAGTTGTAATATCCGTTTATATGGTCTCTTCACATTTTTTTGTTTATCCTTTTTTTATTTTTCATCTGATAAGTATTACAGCTTCATTCTTGTTACAATTTTGGTGTTTGGGGGAAGTTACCAAACAGTTACATAATGTGATTTGCTTTGCTAGCTTCAAAACCAAAAGAATAAGCAAGATACTTCTGATTTGCCACCCGAGGCCAAGATAACACTTGTGTTATACAGGAGCATCTTGTGTGAAACAATCATCGCTCCTCATTAGCCAGTTTCCAATTTTGAATCTTTGTATTTTTAATTTTGTAAATCATGATTGAGACTTTTAGTTCATGTTTGTTTGGTTAAGTTCGTTCATAGCTTTTTTACTACCAAACTCCTCTATCATGCATTTTGTTGCAAAATATACCAATGTTGCAATTATTTGGATAACTAGTTCTTGTTCAATCAGTAACGGTAACGCTGGCAAGGTCCAAAGTATCACTTGGTATACGACGCGGCTTTACATAATACTTCTAAAGCACAACAGGCATGCTTCAAAACATGATAGATGTCGTTAGTAAATTTGTCATCTAACTTATTAGTGCAGCTTTCACAAAACTTACTGATTAGAGAATTAATTGAAGTTGTATAACTAATTCAATTTATTAATGAATCAGTCACAACAAGCAAATGTAGTTAATGCTGAATAACTTACTCAATTTGTTTCTATTAGCTATATTGCAGGTGATTTTAAAGGACATTTTTATTTTTGAAATTTCAGGATTAAAAATTTTTTAAATTTAAGTAAAAATAATTTAGAATATGAGAGACTAAAAATATATTTAAACTTTTTTACATTAACATTTTGGCATCAAAGGTTGTTAGATTTGTTGAAACTACTGATTATTGTTAGATTTTTTAAAATTATTTATTGCAATTTATAACCGAAACTTCCATTAAGAATAGTTTTCTAGTATTTTTTTTCCTGGTATATATACGTTGAATTAATAAAATTAATGTCTGTACGAAATCTCTATATAATTCATTGAAATCTTTACTGGTCACTGAAAGAAAGTTCAACTATATTCTGCCCGGTGCTATCAATGTACCATGAGGATTGAACCATGTTTCTTGCTATCCTAGATGGCATGCACGGCTTAATGACAACACATTGACGTTATTATTGGGTTTTTTATTTTAATATTTTTAAGGCAGGGTAGTGGGCACACATACTATTCAATACACAGTACATACGAATTCAATTAATTCCACTTAACATTTATTCTACTAAATTCAAATATAACATCAATTTGCAAGAAAGATATATTAGTTATCACTTGCCATTGCTAGGATTAAAAATACATTCAGTTATTCCAAATCAAATTATCACGAGCTCATGCCTCATGGATCTCAATGCAATCTTCTAAGCAAATCTACATGTTGTAATCATAAGAAATGGAGTGAAGGATTACTAATGGCTGAACCAAGAGGGCATGCGTAGTGTTAAAATCCATGCTTTGCAATGTAGAAAGGCCGAGATCCACATCTGAAAAATAATAGACAAGTCCACTAGAAGCATGGATGGCTCTCATATTTGCAACGACTCAATTAAAACGCAGGATTAAAATTTTACAGTGCATACAGGCTATAAAATGGATCAACCTTTGGAGATTGTAATTGTTGACACTAGTTCCATGAATAAAAATAAATATATGAAAAAACAAAATTTCAACCTAAAGAACAAATCCTCCTTTTTTTATGAAGGGCATTTTGTAACGTTTGATCTCTAGTAAGTATATGAAAAAGAACATGAATCCAAAACTGAAAACTCCAAGCAATAGATGTCAGACTTAAAAAACATTAGACATGAGCAGTGCCTTCAGTGAATTTTGGGTCCTCACATCGGTACTTGCCATCAGGTCCAATTCCAAAACCCTTTGGATCAGCAAAGACATTCTCCAGAAGCTGGCTGCGGGGTGGATGAGGGCTCGCATCTGCGAACTCAACAGCTTCCTCAACAACCTCATCAATCTTCTTCTCTATGGCCTTCAACTGTTGTTCACTGGCTAATTTGTTCTCAATCATGTATTTCTTCAGTGCAGAGATGGGATCCCTACCAGCATAATGTGCCTTCTCAGCTGCCAAAGCACATACAGACGATGGTGAATAATGATAAATTTATAATGAACTTGGCAGACACAAATACAATATGTAAAGAAAACTATGGTTAAATGTGGCTCATTTGATCATGGCCCTGACTAGTTGAAATTAGTAAAACAGTAGTGCCAATCAATGCTTTTGCTGTAAGAATAACGTAGTTAAATATGCTAGAAAACGAAGATTTATAGATATAACAAGACATTTAAAAGGGTAAGACATGCTAGAATTATGAGCCTCCATAGTAATTAAGCAACTAAAACTTACACAGGGTAATTTGAATTAGAACAACATGGAAAGTGATTTAATTGACATTCGTATCATTTAACAAATTGACAGGCAAAAGTGTACCTAGCTAAAACATAATCGAATATAAAACATCGGAAAAACCATAAGCATTCAAAACTTATATTTATGAAAAAATTTATAATTGTTAATCAAACCATTGGCTTTTATCCTTATTCTCACATTTCAACAGGGGCATTGTTGATTAGGCACCATGATGTTTTGCTCGTCATCAAATGCCAAAAAAAGTTACTTTTCAAAAATACAAAAACGATACAGTATAGTGTAGCTTAGGGATCAACATGTCTCGTAGTGAACCAACTCTCGACCAGTTTTTCTTTAGAATAATATATTGAGCTTACGAAAATTGTAGTTTAGGCTAGACAAATCTTCACTTACTAATTAAAACTTGATGTCTCTTCATTTTGACATGATTCTCAAGTTTATAATGCAGTTATAACTTGTACATATATCCAACACCAAACTATAAAGTGTTACATTACACCATAAACAGGTTTAGAGTGAACGACTAGTTCAATTCCTTCAAATCCACGATCTTACTCTCAATGTCAATCGTCAACATCTAGAGAAAAGTTCCCCTAAAACTACAAAGTTAATGCACGGTGAACTATACAGCAGAATAAATGTATAAGGATTATCTATAGTACAACTAAAGATACCATCAGAAATGCAGAGGAACAGCAACATAATTTAGTACAAAATTAACAACATAACTGAAGTAGATTCTAACAAAAGAAATCATAATGTAAACACTCACCAGGGTCACGAAGCTCATCAGGGTCAGCCAATGAATGTCCTCGAAATCTATAGGTCTCACATTCTACTAAGGTTGGCCCCTCTCCTCGTCTGGCTCTTTCAACAGCTTCCTTTGCCACCTCTCTGACCTTCAAAACGTCCATACCATCAACATGAACCCCAGGCATTCCAAATGCTGGCCCTTTCTTCCATATCTCAGGATCTGAAGTCGATCTGAGATGTGACATCCCAATAGCCCACAAATTATTTTCCACCACAAACACAATAGGCAATTTCCATAAAGCTGCCATGTTTAGGCATTCATAAAACTGTCCATTGTTACATGTTCCATCTCCAAAAAATGCCACTGTCACATGATCACAATCTGCCTCTTTCAACACCTCCCTTCTATACTTGCTGGAAAATGCTGCTCCTGTAGCCACAGGGATTCCTTCAGCAATGAAAGCAAACCCACCAATCAAATTATGCTCCTTTGAGAACATGTGCATAGATCCACCTTGACCTCGGGAGCATCCCGTAGCCTTCCCAAAGAGCTCACTCATTACAGCACGTGCTGGGACCCCCTTACTCAGTGCATGAACATGGTCCCGGTAGGTGCTAACTACAGAGTCTTCTTTCTTGAGAAGCTTAATGAACCCAGTTGACACAGCTTCTTGGCCATTGTACAAGTGGACAAAACCAAACATTTTTCCTCTATAATACATCTGGGCACACATGTCTTCAAAGGACCTGCCTAATATCATGTCTTCATAGAGCACCAAGCCTTCCTCTTTCGTAATAAGCTGCACACACAGATACAAACAAAACCAATAGTCTCAAACACTCATTTCCAAACCGCGGCAACATTTTCTAGAATCTGAAGCTAATTTGGGCAGGTGGCATAAGAAGATTTCTTCTTTTCTACAGTTCATATAATGTCTATACCACCAAATTGAGAAGTATCTACATATTTGAAACCAAATATTGAATCATCCAGCTCATAAACTAAGATTTTAATTTCTAAGCACTATCAGTGTAATAATCTTTACATTATCAATAAATCAGAAACATTCAAAGAGTGATTTTGAAGTAATTATGGTAAAAGCCAATAAAAGTACCATAAATGACAACTTGTGATTGGTTTACCGTATAAAAACCCTGTAAATGATTCATGGATATACTATTTTGCTCATACTAATGGAATACGTTGAATTAAGCGTAAAGATTTTTTTTTATTTAATTTTGAGAAACCCATTATGCAGGATCCATGGCATGCTGAACAAATGAAGAAAGGGACATATTATTATTATTAATATGGAAAAGGAAAAGAAAAGGGGTACCAGATTGGTGGTTGATTTGCGCTTTTTGTCCTTGACAACATCGGAGACAGAGACAACAGTGGAAGGAGAGCGAGGATTGAGCTTAATGGGGGCAATGAAGCGAAGCTTGTGAGTGGATCCAAGGAAGGGAGTGGATGCGTGGAAAGACATTGGGCTGCCAATGGATCTGTGAGTGTGATGCGGAGAGAGAGGTTGAACAAACTTGGGTGCGGAAAGAGACATTATGGTATTTTGGTTTGTGAAATCAAAGGAAAGAGGCTACTCTTATTTCCCTTTAAGGAATTGCAAAGAGAAAAATGGGAAGGCGGAGGAAACAAGAGAGGGAATGGGTGAGGAACGTGGAAATCACTGTCTCATTGCCATAAATCATAAACACAAACACTCTTCAAACCACAATCATATATATTCACGAGAGAGGGTCGCCACCAATTCACAACCAACTTTTCCTACAAATACTATAAATTTCAAATAATTGTTCAACCAATTCAACCGGCTCATAACTTCAATCTCACCTTCATCCTACAAAATCACACTTTCTTTGGATACATTAAGTATTTTATTAAAATTAATTTTAAAAATATTTTCATATTTGAGAAACTAAGTTTTTTACCATTATTTAACATGATTCTTTAATGATAGAGATTAAAATAATATTATTATGTATAAAGTTCTAATTTTAAATTTTGTTGTTATTGTTATTTAATAAAACTTGTATTTATGTCTCTTGAAATTTGTTTAAATGAAATATTTTTTTTAGTTTTTTAAAACTTATTCACCATTTTTAATTTAAAAAAATCATTCACCTTCTATAAAAAAAACGTCATTAATTATAATGAGAGAAAGGAAAAAAAATAAAATTAATTTATATTTTTTTATTCATATACATGTTTATCTTTCATTTCTAAATTATATATAATGTTAAGTCTTTTTATAAAATATTTTATTGTTTTTTTAATTTTGAAATTTTTACTTAAAATTAATATATTTTTTTTAAATCATAACACATGATATTTAAGATATAATTTGAGAGTTAAAATTAAGAGATAAAGTTTCATTCAATTATTGATACTTGCATTAATAATCCATTCTTTCTTAATAGTGTACAAATGATGTTATTTTATATAAGAGATTATATGTATCACTTAGATAAATTAATAAAAAAATGTTAGTTTTTACTTAAAAAATAGAAGAGAGGTTTGTGGCCTTTTAAAAAACCTCGGGAAAATTGAGATCAATTTTCTCAATATTTAACATAATTTGTAATACTTAACGAATTATTTATATAAATTTTATATGTAGTAAATTACTTGGGAGAGAGAATAACATTTCTACCTTGAAAATGATGGACTATTACTTCTTATTTTTACTTCACATGTATTACTTGGACAAGAAGAATAAACTATTTTTCAGTAAATTATACTTTTTAGGGATGAACACCAACTTGAAACTCAACCCGAAATCGAAAAAATGAAAGGAAAAAAGGGTAAATGAGTGGATTTAAAGAGGGTTACTAATTTAAGTATATCAAAAACACGATTTAAAATTGTTGATTTCGATTGGGTTCAATTTAAATTTTTGGACTCATCAATACCCAAACTTAACCGTCCAAACAAAATAAAAGTTAAAGTAATTATCATTTAGGCCCAAAAACTAAACCTATTTTGGTTTATCTTTAACTTTTATTGTTAATCCACTAAAAACAATAGCTGAGAATGTAGTTTGTAACTTTTTTATTTTATTTTATGTACATAAAAAAGATTTATTATAATATTTAAATTATTTAAAATTTGAATAATTTTATTCTTCTTGACTCTAAATGAACTAAATAATATTTGAATGGTTGAATTTTTTAAAAAAAATGGTTACAAGAATTGAAAAAAAAAAAGACAATAAATTAGATAAAAACTTTATTTGGGCCAATTAAATGATTCAAAGTCCAATACATTTTTATCTGTAGAAAAATGTCCGATAAAATCAAGACCCACTCAAACCAAAACTCACCTAAACTAATAAGTCGTTTGATCGGATTTGAATTTAAATAATGCAAACTGTGGATTATATCGATCCAAAACCAATCGTACCCGACCATTGATCACCCCTAATACTTTGTAGATATTTAAATTATATTATTTTTTCATTAGTCCTTTTTTCAAGACTTTTTATTTTAATATAAACAAGTTATAAGATTATTTTTTTCCCTTCTTTTCTTGATGACTTCCACCATTAACATTTTGAATAACTTGTGTTAAAAGAGATAATCTTTTAAAGTTTAAATACATATAGATGGAGATGTAGCCCTCTAAATAAATTTGTGTATCTTGTGTGATTAATCATTGATTTGTAGTTAAAAGATACATGAGATTCAAGTATGATAATTGGGTGAGGTTTATGGTTTAGGGTTTGTATCTTTGAATTTGTATCTTATATTTATCATTGTTCCTATATATGATAGATATTGGACTTTGTGTCTCATCCCAATCCCCGTCTCCGTCGAGTATCAAATATATTTATACTTATCTTGTATCTATTCATAAATTAATTAAATATTTTTATAAAAAATATTAAAAAAAATGAATTTCAATATACAATAATAGTTACAAAATTACATTAATTAAATTTTATCTAACATAAATTTAAAATAGAATAAAATTACATAAATATTAAATAGTTTTTTTAAAAAAATAAATTAAATTTGTAAAAAATATAAAACATAGATAAATATAAATACGAGTGCAAGACAAATAAATATATATTTATCGTCATCTTATATTTAATTTAATAACAGATATTATTCGTAGTTAATAAAATGGAATATTCTTTTGTGAAAGTTGCTAATCAGGAGAAACTAGATGTTGCATATATCCAGCATGCACCCTTTATTCTGCTGCCTGTATTTGTAGCTAAACTTTACAATAGCTTTTACAGACGAGAGATGAAAATTATGTATAAATTATTGTAAAAATAAATTGCAAAAAAGAGTGCATTGCATAAGAATAATATAACATTTTCTTTTATCCTTCTTCAAGTAGCAAAAAAAAAATAAGTTTCTTAGTCTGTAAACCAACATTTATCTTTAACATCGTCTTTTCACTGCATCTTTATTATCATTTGGAGATTCTTTCCAGTGATTCAGAGAGATTATTCTGTGAATTATGTCAGTAGTGAGGGATGGGAAATTACAAAAGGGAGGATTTTGAAGCAGAAAAGGAATCAAATGAAGTTGGCTCTCGATATCGTTTAAATATTTTTACTTGCAAAGGATGAATTAGGCAAATTGGGTCCATAGCTCAGTGGTAGAGCATTTGACTGCAGATCAAGAGGTCACCGGTTCGAGCCCGGTTGGGCCCTTTTGATGTTTCAAATATTTTATTTCTTATATTTTTAGCAATTCTGGTTTCGTAGTAGTTGAAGGTTTTTTTTTTTTTATTAAAAAAACTCCGTTGTTAGGAATAGAATAAAATAACAATAAAAAAAATACGACGTATCTAAAAAAAAGTTACAAATAATTTTCTTTTCATTTGAGCAAATTAGAATAACATTGTCCTTGATTAATTTTTTTTTATATAAATATTGTCCTAATTCAAATTTTCCCATCATTTTTTCCCAATTTAAATGTTTTATTTCTTATACTTTTAGCAATTTTGGGTTCGTTAGTAGTTGAAGTTTTTTTTTTTTTTTTAATAATCTCCTTGTTAGGAATAGAATAAAAAAAGGTACAACGTATCTAAACAAAAGAAAATTACAAATGATTTTCTTGTCATTTGAGAAAATTGGAATATATTGTCCTTGATTAAAAATTAATGATGTTGACCTAATTCAAATTTTTCCATCATTTTTTTCAATTTTATTTGAAGAGATTATTACTTTTGTTTCAGGGTAAATTTAGACACAATTTTACTCAATGTGAACTTGAACTAAGAGTTAGATTATTAAAATTTTATATTCATAATGACTTATTCTCATAGCAAATTGGTGTGTGTGTAAATGACATCTAAAAAACCATGTTATTAGAAATTGTTATCTCAATTGATTGTTAATTTTATAGATATAAAAAAAAATCATGTTTATTTGATAGCGTTGAACTACTTAAACTATTCATCTTTGTTGTAGTAGATTTCTCATAGATAAACGTGTGACTATGCATATAATTGAAATGTTGTGTATATGATGTGATGATTTTGATGTTGCTCGTATGTTGTTTGGTTTGGATGTTGGTGTATGATGAGATTGTTGTTTATCTTTTAAGGTAGTTGAATGCCATGTTGAATGCAGTTGTTGTGGTATTGAAATGTTGTAAGCCATGAGGTGATGTTGTGTGTATGTGGTTTACACAAGATTATTGATAATATAATTATTTTACTCTTATTTATTCTTTTGGTACACTAATTTATCTTTGCATATTTCTTAGTGGTTGAATTGTGATAATCATGTTTACATAAAAGCAAGATAGAATTTGGCTAAAAACTTTTGAAGTGTTAAGAGTCAAGCTAGCGGAGTAGCTTGACGTTACTTTTGACGGTGAATTTTTTGTAGTATTATTTAATCGACAATTTAGACTTATACATTACAATTTTTCTGGATTATTATATATATTACTGAGAAAAAAAACATTTTTAATTATTAAAAATTATATATTTTTCCAATTATTCAACAATAAGCAACGAAAAATATAAACACCTACCTAAAGTTAATATATAACAATTCCTAGATATACACTAGGTAATATATATATATATATATATATATATATATATGTTTGTATATGTATATATATAAACTTATGTGTGTGGAAAACAAAAATGAATATATTACTACTTTATGTATTTTAAAAGGGCATTAATATATATTTATGGAAAATAAAAATCAGTATATATTACTACCATCATATGAATATTAATTAAAAGGGCCCAACCGGGTTCGAACCGGTGACCTCTTGATCTGCAGTCAAATGCTCTACCACTGAGCTATGGACCCAATTTGCTTTATTAATATTTGTTACCAACAAATAAATAATAAAATATTATAAAACCAAATAAATATTTATTTATATTTTTAATAATATCTTTTAATTACAACTTAAACCCTCTTTATTAAATAATTTATTATTTTATTAAGTTCTGTTTTTTTATTTTTTCTTTGGATACTTTAATATGTGAAAAAAAATATTATCAATTTAATTTTTTTATTTTACCAAGAAAATTCCATAAACATAAATATACATGTAAGATATTTTTTGTTAAATGAAAAACTAATAAAAATGTTATCGTTAATTTCCAAGATATTATGATAAAGGTTATTTTAATTTTAATTACAATTTTGAAATGCATAAATTATTATTTATTTGATTTTATAATATTATATTATTTTATTTCCTGATAATCACTATATGTGACTTTTTTGTCACTTGCACATTCAATTTATATATGA